CATTCTTTTCTCTATTTTATCATTGGGGGTGTTAAAAAGTTGTAGATCCATACATTATAAATTTGAACACGAGGTAAGCGTATAGTGGTTTAAATTGATTGAGCGTGGCGATATATTAACGTCTCAGAATATCGGTGCTTATACCATATTATTAGTAAATCACGGACTTCTATATTAAACTGCTCAATCTCTTAAATATGATGTTTGGTGTCGCTCTAATTAGAAATTGATTGAAGCTGGATATTTTTATTTACGGTGACAACGACTTGAAAGCTTATTTCTATCAACTTTGTCGTCCATATAACAGTTATTAATAACATCGGAAGTGAAAGCTAGCGTAAATTACTCTACCAAAATCTGTTTTCATCCCTAAAATTTGTCAACACCATTTACAAATATACCAGTTTGATCCGGTATTGGTTTGATATTTACAAAATAAAGAATTCCTCAGTCTTCAATATTAAAAAACCTATCTTCATTTGCTATCCATTCTACTATATTCTAAAATTTAATTATTGTTTAGCTAAATTAGTTCTTCATGAAATATTTGCCAAGAAAGAATAATTTTAATTTTATGTTCTTTAATGTAGAAAATTAACGAGAAAATCATCAAATTCTTTTGCCTCATATAACCGAAATCGAAAAGAAAATTACTTTGAAGAGATGGAAGAACTAGCAACATTAAAGATGAATGATATAAAACCGACTTCACCGCTAGTTGCAGTTAGTAATTATACCATCAATTCTACAATCTATATATCACTCTTGCCCGATAGTAATATTTATGCTATCATTACTGGTTTAACTCTCTTAACCAATGTTAGCATGTTATGTCTCGTCATTAAAGAACGAAAACTACATACCATGTCGAATTGGATATTAGCAAGTATGTTTTGTGCAGGCATTGCTTTTGCAATTGCTTATTTATTACCTCGTTGGGTAATATTCTTCAAGTGGAACCTGTATCATTCCTTTGCGTGCTTAATTTTACCCATGACTGGCTCAGGGTTAATCATTAATTTCAATTTGCACTTGGCGTTAGTAAGTTTAGATCGCTATTTCTGTTTTACTTCGCCCTTTACGTATCAAAGACCACAATCACGTGTTATAGCCAAGTTAGCCATAGCTTCTGTCTGGGTTTTAAGTTCTTTCACAGCTTACATACCACTCTTTACTTTCCTTATTCCATCACCAGGAAAATGTGCAGCCCAACAACGTAGTGAAATCTATTATAATTATTTATGTACAGTCTTTGTCATCCTCTTTTTCTTGCCTTTAGCTGTTTTAATCGTTACTTATTCAAGAATATTATGGATTGTTAATAATCATACCCAAAGACGCCAAGAAGGCATCGTACGCTCAAATTCAGTGACGATTTCCGCATTTCACCGTAATCTTCGAGCGATCAAATATATGATAGCTTTAATCGGTTTATTTATTCTCTTTTGGTTACCTTACATCATCCTCTTCCTAGTTTACTATGCAACATCCATTGCCAGTGTTCACACATTAATACTTATTCGCAATTTTCAATACTTGGCCTTTTCCTATCCAGCTGTCAACCCAATCTTGTATGTTTATTTCACACCATGTATGCGCCATGTTATGAAAAAAAAGTTATCTAGGTCAATTCAATCTATAGCTCAAATATTATCCAACATAGCATAAGAAATATCAAAACTGATTAATGACATATTCAAAGTGATGAATGATTTATTCCCATTGAAAAATACAAATAGATTTAAAATTCTACGTTGCATTGATGATCAAGAGCGTAGGAATATTGTAATAAATGTTTTATAAAATCTATTCTAGTCAATAGTATCCATAGAACATTTTCGCAAACATGACACACTTATTTTTGAAGCAAGAATCAACGAAAGCTGATCTTTCAAAAAAACATCGCAATATAAAGTAGAAGCTAATCCATTAATCTATTCAATAATGAATACGTTCTCATTTAGAAATTCTTTTACGGAAAGCAATCTGCAGATGAAAAATTACCGATGGTTTTGTATTTCTGTGTGAGCTAAATTTTCGCTAATCTCCATGTGAGAAATTACGGTTGGTTTTATGCTTCTGTATAGGCAAAATTTTCGCTAATCGCCAGATGAGAAATTACGGATGGTTTTATAATTCTGTATAAGTTAAGTTTTCGCTAATCTCCAGATGAGAAATTACGAATGGCGTGGTGTTTCTATACGGCTAAATTACCGTTAATCTCCAGACGCGAAACTACGAATGATTTTATACTTGTATGTGAGCTTAATTGCCACTAATCTCCAGATGAGAAATTAATGACGGTTTTACATTTCCAAGTTAGTGAAATTTTTGGTAATCTCCATATAACAAATTACAAATTGCGATTATATTTCCATGTGGAAAATTTTTCAGAGTTAAATAGATTTCTCAGTAGGAGACATTAATATTGGCCATCTATGGCAAATAGCTTTTAGCGGTATTTATTATACAGCCAAAATTGGTTGTCAATTCGCGAATAGTTACAACAGTGACCTCTATACTTATACACCTATAATCTACGATATCATACCAAAGTATCAAGATAAAGTATTACGTAAATATATTAACATGGTATGTATATAACATCCATGTCGAAACTAAATTGTTAGGGTTACATAATGGATAATTATTCTCGCTTTGCTTGCCCAATATAAAAGCAAATATTGATCGTTATTGGTAGAAATTGAAGACAAGATAATTCTGGAAAAGAACATTTTTTATTCTACGCTTTCGGTAAGCTTATGTTATCCTTGCTACCATTATTCAAGCTTGAGTTTGCTTTGATATGCTAAATTCTAGTAGTATCAGGCTTTATGATTCCACTAAGCTTTTAGTCAAGGCTCGACTTTGTCATGTTATATAAAAAGTGCCGAGCTAAAATTATTTAACGCTCATTTTAGAGTTCATAAACCTTTAAATGGCAAAGTAGAGAACCAAGGCCTTGGCTTCACAACGATGTTCCTTTGCTGCCATGCAGTTAAACTGCTTATATTGACTATCAGAGCATAAATAAAATTTTTGTCTTCATTACAAATCTTGTTACTCCGACATGAAGTATTCAATTTCGAGATTTAAATACTGTACAGGATTATAACTATCGCACATCATGTAATAAATACATCAACGGATATATATGTATATCGCATGGATTATGATTTGCTATGAAAGTAAGTGATTGATTAGTGCCACAGCGAGCAATCCTACTCCGAATTTTTTTGTTTTCTGTATTGCTATCCTAGCAGCAAAGGTATGTCGTGGGCAGAAACAACACAAATAGTAAAACAAAGTTTTATAGAGTCTATCGTCCAATATTTACATAAGGCTAGAAGATCGTTTTTGCTTAGCAAAGGTATGCTGTAAGCGTAAATTATACAAATAGCTTACAGATTTCTACAGTATCTATCGTCCATTATTTACATAATATTTGAAGATCATTTATAGTTGGCAAAGGTATGTTGTGGACGTAAATTATACAAATAGCTTACAGATTTCCATAGCATCTATCGTCTAATATTTACATAATACTAGAAGATCATTATTACTAGCATATAATCTCATCCTAAACACAAGGTTACTATTAACTAGGATTATTACGCTATTAGCGGCTATTCACTATTAAAATGGCTATCTATCAGCTTAAGGGACAGCACTATCTGTGATCAGATGGTGTAAAGTAGCATTAACGATATTATTTCATAAGTTTAGCTAGACAGAAAACTGCCTTTCGAAGAGAAGATCTTTTTAATTGCATATAATCTCATCCTATAATGCGATGTCGCCGTTAGCTCAATGGATAGCACTACCTGCGGTCATATGGTATAAAGTAGCTTTATCGAAATTATTTCCTAAAATCTAGCTTGGGCAAAAGATTGCCTTTCAAGACTTATGCTTTGTTGGCAACGGTCAATTTGTCATTTCATAATGACATTATTCTATTCATTGGTTGTTATTTTTAATTTCTTAAAATCTGTCGCCTTTAAAATTCTTATATTTACTTTGCTTCATGTCGTCTTAATTGTAAACTAACGCATATAAGGCATTATCAATAAAACATCACTAAACCTTATCTAATAGTAGGACTGTTCCTAACTTTTAACGCCTCATATCAGTTTACCACGATTGCCAGAGAGAACTTGATATAAAATACACGATTAAACGATCGCAGTGTAATAAGCTGATAAATTGTATAAGCCCAATTGCTGAATTAGCTCTCCGCCATTAGATCTTAAAATTATGTGACAGAATGAATTTTATTGGTCACTATGATACACATTAGAACTGAATTATGGCAGAACAATACCTTCACTATTAAACTATGATTTACTAGTCTTCTTGTTACCCACGATTACTACTAGTAATAGCTGAATTTCTAATATGCGAAATCATTGTAATTGATCGAATTTTCGTAGTGATACAACCGTATATTGCTAGGATTATGAATAGGAAAATATGAAAATATCCCTCCACGAAGTTAGGAGTTATGTTGGGATTTGAATCATTCATTTAAAACAGAGTATGGCTTGCACCTCCGTTAGCAGAAAATGATTATGACAGTAAAGCAAATATATCTAAAAAGCGAATGAAGCCTTCAAGATAATCTTAATACATGGAGAATGGGATATTCTACGAAGGATAGATACAAAACAAAAATAATTTCAAAGACCTATAACGATGATTAAGGTAGTAACAAATGGAATAGAATAAATATTGGAGAGACTCAAATAACAGCAGGGAATAAATATCTCATTGGCTAAACGTATGCATGCCATCATTCATTAAAGTAATCAAAACATGACGCCCTAGATTAGCAATTCATACGAACTAGCATTTCATCAGTAACATGAAAACACGATCAAGGGATCTTATCTTATAGACTGCTATTAAAAAAAATTGTAGACATTCTACAGATATAGAGCAGAATAATTTTAATTCTGTGCAATCCAAGTAATTTAATATTTGTTTTAAGTTGTAGTGGCTTACTCTCCACTCTGGTTATATAACTTCAATTTTTGATCAGGTAAAATGGATAACCATTAATACCAGTAGGTACACATGATATTAAACACTAGAAATTAAAAATTTCTTTCTTTCAGTCACAAACCACCACCATAACTTACAATTTCGACTTTCTTATACTTAGAGTAAGAAAAAAATTTTCATATACTTTTGTAGATACAAAAAATTTTCTACTGTAGCTATAATTATTGATAGTACTTGGTGACTAACTACATATAATTTTTTCAGAATATTTGAAGTAGTAACTCAATGGAATACGTTAATACTTACTTTTATAGTGGTTCCTTTATTCGGAATTTTTCCATGAATTTACGATAATTGAACGTTGTATTCTGTTCACTATAAATTGCTTTAATAAATTTCGTTGTAGTATTTAATAAAACAGTCATTATTAATAGTACTAAAATGTCTCATTGCAAGCATAAGAGGTTTTTGGTAACAGTTTCAAACCGATTATATCATTGTGCTACTACGTATAAATCCTACTGAATAGACTGCTAACAAAATTATAAACCAGATTCTTGTAATAAAAATCTATTTTAGAAAGGATCTTCGAATAAGTCATTATTTATTAACGTAGGAACCGAAGCTTAGCTACTATGAACAGTGATAGTGTTAGTCTGTTCGCAATATACTTTTAACATGAAAAATCTCTAACAATTTCTTACTGTAATTAAATTAATATCCTAAATTAAATGCAGTACTTCTACTGAGCAAGGCTATTCCCTTAATACTTTATGTTCCTGTTATTCCTTTCATTATATTCAGGAGTATCATGCATTATTCTGTTGGGTAGTATTCGCAAGATATCCATAATGGAGTCAGTAAACTTTACTTTTATACAGGGTTAATAAGTCTGTCTTCACGTATTTAACCAACAATTTTGTGTGATTTAACTTACAATTTACAGTTAATTCCATTTTCAACGAAATCAAGGACATAAAATTATACCGATATTTGCCATGGATAGCTATGATGAAAAGGAAAATTCAGTCCAAGATTTAAATGTGCAACAAATTTTGGAGCAAAAGGTAATACAGTCAGATAATTGCGTTTATACTATGGATAAAAAGCCACATGGTTATGCAGCTGTGTTCAATCAAGAGTAAGTGTACTAAAATACTGTTAAGAAATATTAAATACTATCTTCATTCCTATGTTAGTTATTAAACGCCATTTTTGATGATGATGGGATGTACTAGTATCATTTTCATGACTTTAAGAATTTTCTCACGTTATGATTATGAACGATAGTTCCTATTTTAAATCTTGCTATTCTTCTATTAGTGTTGATGAGGTAATACTTTATAGCTACACGTTGCAGAATATACTGTAGTAAATATCTTCGTAGTTTAGATCAGTGTTAAAAATGGAAATTTGTAACGAGGAAAAAGATAAACCTATTACAGAATTACACTATGAGTCTACCGTCAGGTTTGTTCTTCCTTACATTAACATGCAGTACTATTATAAGCACTAACGATCTCCTATCATCAGGAGGAACAGTAGTACAACACTATTCTCTCTTAGACATAACTGAACTCAAACTTTCTTTAAAAATTATTCAATTTATAGTAAATTGACATAAATATTAATTATCAGTTTATGGATAATATTATAAACTATGCAGTTATCCATTAAAAATATAATTAACGTCATAGATAATACTATGTTATCTGACAAAAACAAGATAAGTATTTTGTAGGAAAACCCACTTCACGACAATTAAGTTACAAATTATAAACCTCTTTATATTAGATCTGCAAATCTCACCTATTACTTTAAATGAATATATCTGACCATACGTGTATTCCATGCATTCTGTTAGATTTTAATTTCAAATAACAAACTGCGCAGTGCTAGATTTATAAATTTCATCCATTACTCCAAATGAATATCTCTGCTAAGATTGATTATTGATGCAGTATTTAATCACTCATAAAGCTAAGGTGATACATGTAATTCCATGCGTTTTATTCGATTTTAATTTTACTAAACGAATGAGACGATTATAACCAATATTATTAAATTCTTTATGACAGGAAATTTTTACCAGACTCAAATTTGGAAGACAGAAGTGGCAGCCATGTTGATGTTGAAAAGCTGGACACTTTATTTCGAAGTCTTGATTATATCGTTGAAATATTTAACGATTTTACTACGCAACAGATTGAAGATAAAATTAATTATTATTCCAAACAAATCGATCATGGAAATTATGATAGCTTTGTTTGCATCTTTCTTAGCCATGGAATATATCGTTATATATGTGGAAGCGATGGCGCTGTTGATCTTGAAAAGATCTTTGCTCAGTTTCAAGGTCATGAATGTCCAACATTAGCTGGTAAACCTAAAATTTTTATCATTCAGGTGAGGTCAAAATTAATAACTTGGTAAATTAACTGTTCTATCTTTATGGAACTGTAAATATTGGAAAATAAATCCAGTTGTTATATTGAACTAACTTGTCATTTGTGCAAGATGATCAACATAACTAGTGCTATATAGTACAGTAAAATATAGTATGAAATGCTACAGTCGAAGGTAAACAGATATATATTTTATCCTATTTCTAGGCTTGTCGAGGTAAAAAATACGACCTTGGAGTAGATATTGTTGATTCACCCCATAGTGAAGAAAATAACTCAGCTGTCGACAAATTTGGATATAAACTACCATCTGAGAGTGATTTCCTTTTAGCTTACGCCACAACAAATAATTATAAAGCGTTTCGAAATATGGATCTTGGATCCTGGTTTATTCAGGATTTAGTGACCATCCTCACTAAATATCATTCTCGTATGGATTTATTGCGAATGTTTACTCGTGTTAATGACCTGATGGCTAGGCGAGAATCACCAGGTATCGGTAATGATAGAAAAGTGAGGAAGCAATCACCATCGATTGTATGTAGACTTCGCCGAGATGTCTATTTCTCACCAGAAGCTGCAATTATTGGAGGAGCATATTATGCTAAGCCTTCAACTACATCTTCAGCGCAATAAAAATTTCACTCCGTAAATATCATTATACTCCCATAATTTATTACCTCTGCTCGCGTTGTAAGTCCTTTTATATACTTTTGATACTTGCCTTCTTGAATGACGCATCATTTGTATGTGTAGATTTATTTCTTGCTTCTAAGATAAGTAAATGACCAAAGTAATTATAAAGGTACTTGATTTACAGCTGGACACTCTTCCGTTGTCCCTTTTACCATGATACAAGCGCTACAAATTCACTTTATTGCTTTATACCTATCTATGGCTTGAGACAAATTTAGAAACCTAATTTTTAAGCTTTATGCTAAGGCTGCTGTACTCAATAAGAATCCATATAAACACTACGAAGGTTCCATATAGCCCGGGCAAGATCGACAATGAGCGTTTAAAATTAATTTTGTGGATAATGTTCTTCTAGAAGATAGCGAAAATTGAATGTAATGTACATGATGACATTGTAACAATTTAAGAATTGTGGAACGGTGTGTAAATTGAATTTATGCAGCCTTATCCGTATTTATATGGTAACACTTTGGATTGTAAATCAACGTGTAGGGTGAGTGCTTGATAGTGTTCGATATCGCGTTATCATGTAGAGCAGAATATAAGAACTGTATTAATATTTTAATATGGGAAAATTTTATAGTTACACTAGGAAGTCGTTATATGTGCATTAGTATAATATGAAACTCTACATGACGTCTGAAGCCGAAAATTAAAGAATAAGGATAGTAATAAATCCAATGCAATTATCTGTTTTATACATTTTTGTTTATACAAAATTTTTACAATAAAGCGTCAGCTATAATGTTATTTATAACATATGCCTATTAGAAATGTGTTGCCTGTTATAAATTATTGTTAAGTATAGATTGTAGAAATAGCAAATGTGTCTACTAGAAATAAAATAAGATTATCACATCACATCGTAGAAGCATGATATGAAAACTAATACATAAGTTATCTAAGATCACACTATTAGTAAATTCGCTGTAAAACTATCGATAGTAAATCAACATATAGCGTGAATATTTGATAATAGCGCTTAATTTCGAGTTATCAGAGTGTAGTATGTAAGAACATTATTAATATTTCAATATGCGTAAATTTCATAGCAAGAATAGGAAGTCATTATATGTGCGATAGTGTAACAAGGAATTCTGTGTAACATTTGAAGCTGAAAACTATACGGAATGATGATAAGCATAAATCCGTTAGAATTATCTCTTTAAATATTTTTGATTATGTAAATTTTTACAACAAAATGTTAGTTATAATCTTATTTGTGACGTATGCCTACTAAAAAATACGTAATAATGATGTCTATACTTACCCGTTATAAATTAATTGCAAACATAAATCGTAGAAATATCAAATATATCGATTAAAAATAAACCAGCTAGCCACATCATAGCGTGCTATAAAGAACTAATACTAAAGTTATGTGAAATCACAACTTCAGTAAATTTATTGCAGTAATATGCTATAAATGATTGCTAATGGGAAATCACATAATCTAATATTTAATATACAGTAGCGTATAATAGCTGGTAACAATTTCATTGCTGATTGCTTAATGAACTAGCTGATTCTGCTGGGTATACAATAGGCTGACATAAACAATGCTTTTTTCTATTATTAACTACCGCTACATTACTTTCGATCGGATATTATTAAATATATTCATTTAATATCACTGTAGAGGCAAGATTTTACAGCCAATTAACGATAACATGAATAAAATACATACTATTTACATAATATTAGATTTGCATAATAATTCTATCCGCATCCGCTTCTATTATGACTAACAAAACTATCAACTTAATAGAACTATAGTGAAGTAAGGAATGTTATTTATATAGTTGTTATCCTCTAACGTTGCATTCGTTGTAGAAAGAACTCTACCAACACGAAGAACATTGACACATCTTCCTGTTTTTGTAATTATCACAAGCAAACACAATCGTAGGTTAGAAGTTTGAATTTGGAGATACTTAGCCGATTTTCTATCCTTGAAATAATCATCGCCGATATTGTACTGCAATTATTCTAATCGATAACATTTCGTAAAACTCCTTCATCATCAGCTATTATTGTAGCATATCTTATCATATTCTTAAAGCCTCTCACGATAGATACACAAGCACGTGGCATTGCTTTAGAGGAATCATATATGCAGTTATAAGAAATAGTCTGGCCGTGCATTTCTTTAAAATGTCTTGCTTTATCTAGAATAAATACATATTCATTTGAAGGGGAGCTTTGCTAGTAACTGTAAAAGATCTGCGTCCTAATTACTGATATCTAATGTACAAAATGATCTACTGAAATTGAATAAATATTCGTCAAACGTTTTTATTGTAGTTAATTTCGTTAATCATTACTTCATGTTTCACGCTCAATTTCTAGATGACTTCTTTTAAATTATCGTTTCATTTTAAATTATACTCTGTTAGATTATCTGTAGTTAAATTCTGTGATGAATCGCTGTTGTAATTGTAGCCCTTAATGAATATATGCGTATATGTTATATATCACTTAACGTCGAGGTACTCCTGTAAAGACACAGAGATAAAGTAGTGCTTCTGTAATCTTTACAAGTTACGTTTATTACCTTCTATCCAAAAAGAATTAGAATTACTCTTAGCAATGTAAGAGGTTATACACCACTAATGTTTTCCACAATAAATATCTCAGAAAGCTTTGTTATTCAGAGAGTATCTCTGGACACTAGAATCCTTGAATGACTGGTTGGACGATGTGCACAGTTATAAGTATGTAGTCTTTCAGCTACTGTTTGGTTACAGATATCTCAGATCACTTAACTGGATATAGTTCCCTTATGATAACAAGTACCAATACAGTTATCCTATTTTATTCTGTACCGCAGGATGATATCCGCGCCTATTCGTAACAGTAATAAGTTAGAGAATACAACTGATACTGTAAATAATACCTAATTACAACAATCGCAGGCAGTAGAAGAATAACATCTATCTTCGCAATGTATCATCCATAATTCTGATATGAGTTTGACAATAAAATCAATGAGTCAGCTGTTCTATCTTGTTAGATGCACCGTATATAACAATATGAAAATATAACTTGTAATCACCTATGTAATAATATCAACCAATTTTACTAACGGCTTTTTTAATTCTAGTATTTGTTAATAATTAAAATGATACTTGTTAATTCAATCAAAAGTAAATTACTGTTCATATAGTACTAAATTGGAAAGAATGATGATTATGTAATTATGATTCATTAAATAGTGGTGATTGCATTTCAGGCTGAAGAAATGAGTTGGGAAGATAGATTAAGTGATGATAAAATGAGCGAGATACTTGGAGTAGATCTTCGCACACTCTATGGTCTGACCAAGCAAGAATTAAATCAGATTCACCACCAGCTTTACCAAAAGAAGATCATAAGTAAAACTAAATATTACCAATTTCAGGGCGAAAGCAACCGTTACAAGTATGTTATTCTCTTCTTTTACTTAGAATAACTGTGGTCCAAAAATTTTACTGGCCTTTATTTACCATACAATATGATGTGATATGTGCGATGATATAAACTTCCCCCTGCTTTTTAAAGGATGGTACAAGAATCGCATGTTCAATCTTCAGAATTGTATAGAATTTAATTTCAGTTAACTATTTGATATACAAATATTGAGGTTTAAAAGAAATTCTTATTGGTATCTTCTGTTAACCTTCAAAAGTAATTTTATAGACCACAGATGCACAGGATAATTATTCAAGATATGTCTCATATATTACTAATTTAGCCAGCATTGGTACTAGCAATATTACAGATACAGAATTACTACGGTACTTATAGCTATAGATCGGTGCTCGAAACTTTGGATCATAAGATGCTTTGGAAATTTTTAGAAATTTAAGTCGGATTGAAAACGAAATTCATAGTTCATCTCTCCATTGGTGTAATAATACCTATCTTAAACTACTACTTCATCGTTTGTAGTAATTTGAGAATATGCTAGATGATATCATTAACGTAAATTGATCAAGAATTAAGTTTCTCTTTCTCGTTCAGTTAACATTAGAATATGTATGAAAGTTTAAGCTCGTTAATTTCTGAAACAGAATGATAAATGACACTTGGGAAGAAATTTCAAAAAAAGGGGAAGAGTATGTTAAAATCTTTGGTTATCTCCTTCGTCAGGCTAAGCCAGGTTTATTTACCACTGCTCAAAGAGAAGACAGATCTTACGCAGGAGATGGTAAGGACAGGAAGATGATTATAAATATTAGCAACCGTTATCAGATAAATATCTATTATCAAATTAAAATTAATTATGTGATCACAAATACGATTAAGAATATTTATATAATTATGTTACATCAATATCTATTCATCTATCCTTCAGTGTCTGTAATATTCTTTATTTTAATTCCTACCGACATGTTTGCGTAAATTAGTATATACTTTCGTCTGATCAAAATTCTAGGCAATTGTTTGAGCGGTCCTGCAACAAGTCCTCAAAAGTTGACGAAGATGCCTTGTTATTTAATGAATAAAAAACCTCATGGAATTGCTGTGATATTTAACCAAGTGTGAGTACGTTATGTATGATTAAAAATAAGTAAATTATTTGAAATCGATTTATTCTCTGTCGCGAAATGTGGGTAAAAATAAAAGTAATTTTATTATTATGTTGAGATAATCTAAGCGGCGAAAGTAGATACTTGTATGCTTATTATGAATACAACTTTCTTCAACTTTATTTAAAGTACACATATTTTTGTTTCTCATTGTGAATTATATATTAATTTTAGTCACTGTAACTACTCTTTGCTTAAGGCAGAAATTGAACAGAAAATCCAAGAGTATTCTGCTACTGGTGCACACGTCAACTACGATAGCTTTATCTGCGTTTTTCTTAGCCATGGTAACAGAAAACTTATAACTGACAAGAACGACAAAAAAGATGTTGTAGATTGTATAATTGCGAAAGACAGAGGTGAAATTTATCTACAAGATGTATATGATCAATTTTCCGGCCATAAATGCCCGTCATTGGTGGGAAAGCCAAAGATTTTTATTACACAGGTGCATCTATTTTTGACAGATGAATTTAACGTGCCCGTACATATACCGGCATGGAAAGTAATCGTGGAAATTGGAAATTATTTATTTTTTCAATGCCGTACTTACTGTGAATGATTTACATATAATTTCTAGTTTACCTTCATGTTGTAATTAAGGGTACCGTTCTCTTCAAATTATCTATAGAAATTGAACAGATCTAAAGAGCGAGATATAGTATCATATTTGATATCTTAATTATCTATTATTTAATTATTTATATTTTTCGGGTCTACTGTAGGCTTGCCGTGGTAACGATCAGGGTGAAGGTATCCCCGTTCCAAATCCTTCAGACACTTTATATGCGACGGATAATATCAGTAATTCCGATAAACCTGGTAATTTGAGGCACCCCTACAGTGATTTTCTAATGGCTTACTTGACCGTACAGGATTTTCAGTCCTTAAGGGATACAGAAAATGGATCGTGGTTCATTCAGGAATTCGTAAGAGAACTGGAATCGAATTATAAAAGTTTCGGTTTATTGGATATGCTAACTAATGTAAACCGTAGGCTACAAAATTATGTACTTGACAAAGAAAGCAAGTCTTGTGTGCAGCAACCATTGTTTGAAAGTTCTCTTTCTAAAAAATTCTACTTCTCTGATGCGTAAAGCAATAACAACATTACACCTCCAAGTGATTATTGAATAGGTGTCAACTATGAGGATATTATTGCACTAGTACAAGAATAATTCATTGCTAGTTATCGCAACGTTTATTTGTAGTGCGGCGATCGTTCTAAATTTTAAACTTTTTCAATTTAATTCTTTTAATGAATCTTAAGAAAGCAATTTTTAAACTGCATGTAGAGTTCTGTTAAATAAATGTAAACGAAACTATGATCAAAGCCGAATGCAATAAATATTAGAGAATTCTCGAGTTATGATATACTATTGTAGGAAAGTTTTCTTCTAGCGAGTACGTCAAGAAGATGGTTACAAATGAATTTATACAGCTGATTATAAAAACGAAATCAAGAGTGTTATGATTTTATATTTGTTATACTGAAGCTGCTTAGTTAGCATATCACCGAAATTGTAGTTGTTAGCCTCAGTGTAGCTTTAGTAAGTTTGAGAGAACCAAGTAGCAGAAATAGCATACGTGTAAGATGATACTCGCTGTAATTATAATTGATATTCTATAGCAGTTGATTACTGCAACTAAGTGAAGAAATCGAATCGTAAGTGTACCATAGTGCTTTAGTCGGAGTACCTTCAGTAATTAGCAGTACCATAGTTAGATTTTCAGATTTCGCTACTTGCTGGCCCATGCATGCCCTCAGTGTATTAAAGGGTAGCAAAGAGATTATTTTTACAAGTTAGGGTCTAGAAACGATTTATGACAAATTTTTAACTTGGAAGAGTTTTTTAAATTACAATCGTGCTAGTGTCATAAAAAAATATTACTAGTAGATTAGTAAGAAACAATAATAAATACAAAACTACACTCATACACTAATAAACTTCTGTTTTAAGCTGTATCAACTATGAATAAGTAAGTAATTAGAATCGTTTTTGTCATTAGTATCGTGTAAAGTAATTGAATCAGTTGTAGATGTTACCAAGAGTACAATATTTCAGTTATGCATGTTATACAATACAATCATAAATTTGCAGCGAAAATTTCACTACATCATGCATTCCTGTGCTATTTCAGCTATTCCTATACTTTTACTCAAACCTATCTTACTTTTGTACCGTAATGGCAACCAACTTGATTTTATCGTGTTATGATGCCAATATTAAATTTCTAGATTTGCTATTGCCGACGATCCAATCTCCTTTTGTAATGGATTCTATTAATGCACGGTTTTGTCTTACTGTAATATACCTATAGTAATATATTCGTGATTACCATCAAATTTATCACGTTTTAACATATCTGCATAAGTACGTATATGTTAGAAATGAGTTTGTAAGTACATACAGTAGGGTACACGTTCGGCTAATATAAGGATATAATAGATGTATACATGGCACTTTTTATTACTCAGTGAACACAGTTTATGTATCAAAATCATGGACAGACTAAAATCCGTTTCACCAATCATTGTCATGGAACTACACTCGCTGAATGGACGCGCCGTACGATAGAATAGCCATTTGAGCTTATGCAAAAACAGTAAATTGGGCAAGTTATTGATAATCGAGTTTGGCTACACATCATAATTACAGATCTTAAATAACAATTACTAGCGGATAAAGTTAACATTACTATTGTTTACTCGAAAAATTGAGAATAAACTAATTGGCAATGCTTAGATTACAAAGCCGTTTTGGCAGCATCAATTACTTCTTTGGGTTCAGGAAACTTGACTTTCTTTAATCGTTTAATGCCAGTCCATAACAGAATCTCTAATATACGCACGAGCATAAAATTAGATTTGTCAATTAAAAAGTAAAAGGAACAAGATGTACGATGTTCGATACAAAGGGTCATAATATAGCTGATACAAGATCTTAATTTGGGTAGTAAAGAATCTGCAAATCAACTAATCGTTGTAGTCGAAACATCAAGAACTTCAGCTCTACATACCGTTGCCTTCCTCAGTCACCATTTGACATTCGAAACTTGCAGGCCGAGCTTTCTCAGGGTTAATACTTACTTCTACGTTGGGAAATGTTTCTTGCAACGCTTGCGTAAGTTCTTCAGCTTTACGCCTATATATACGTCAAGTCATACTAATGGAAATCGATAGAGCAGCTGTAAGCTTTGGCCATAGCAAAGAGTACTAAAATCTCTTGCTACCCACATGTATATAACATATACATATATACTCGTATAGTATCAACAGGCTCGATTTCGCTGAGATTGATAGCAAAATATGCATTTGGCCTGCCTTCATTGCTAGCGATAGTGGTCTATTTCAATTATTGTGATAGTAGATTGGCGACGTTAGTATAGATACAACACTTACAAAGTCCATTCATAGTAGAAATTGAATTTTAGAGTTAATAAGAATACTCGTATCAGCACAGTCAATGAAATACATGCACGAAATCCAGTTCATGGTAAGCTGTCAATAAATCTAGTATATACGATCATACAGTACGTACATTGTGCAGCCGATGTATGATCTAATACCATAGTCTGAGAAAAAGCATATCTGCGTTGCAGGTATAACCATTGTACCTGGATCAAGAATTGGGATCCTATCGCATTGTAGTAAAATGACCTGGGCAACTAACAATTACGATTTAGTGAGCTGATTCATTATTGCGTCGGCTAATCTTTTTACTAAAATTTATCACAGCTAGTGCAGTACGTACTGTAGTTTAATGACGGAGCTTTAGCTCCTTGCAACTGGTGTAAAATTCAATTTTGCTTATCATTTCTATCTAGCCGTGCTAGTTATTGGAGGTATTTAACATAAACATTACTATTACTCGCCTATATTCCAGCCAGTTGACTTTCATTCAATCATGACTAGCATAGCGAGATTGCAGAGATAGCGCATCAGCGATCTCATCCTTTACGTACGTACCTTCTTTCAATAACAAATTTTCGCACAGCTTGAGCTTTTGCTCTCTTGGCTTTAAGTTTCTTGGTAGTACTACCACCATTAGTTGCTTTGCGAAGGGCTGAATTTTTGCCTTTTTTCCCTCGTGGTGCCATCTTGGTAGTCTAGCCCTAACCAATTTGCAAAGGTTTGCAAACGAGCAGCTCTTGTGCTCTCATTTGCTTTGCTGATATTCATCAATATCGTCGCTACTGTACAGTGTACAGTACACACAGTTAATATACTGTACACTGTACCGTACCATACTGTACAGTGTACAGTACAGTAGTGTAGTGTAAAAGGATTCACGTGAAGGATTTGCAGCCATACTGTACACTGTACAGTACAGTACAGTACTGTGCGTCAGGCTGTCCGTACGTACATGGCTATACTGTAGTACTGTACAGTACACTAGGTACAGTAGTTGACCATCTGATAGACAGCAACAGCAAAATAGGATGAGCAAGGAACAAATTATGGATTCATTTTGCTTTCTGTTCCAAGACATTCAAATTATCGCACTTCCTATTGACTTGGTGCGATAAGTAGCTGTCAAAAATAAAACAACAGCTACAGTTTCTTGTCATCTTCACTTTGTTATCTAAGTAAGGTTCGTTTCAACACTATCAACGACTATTTCTAGACTAGTACTGTACAATGACCGCAGTGAGCTGGGTCATATTTCCCGTTATACAGTCTCACGCGGAATTCATCGATATCCGTACAATTTTACGCAATCTGACTTTTAGAAAGACTATATTCGCCCTCTATTACAATTAGTTCAATATTGCAGTAGATAGGAATCTAGTATATATTAGGTGATGATAATCCTATCTAAGAATAACCTGCAATACGATACTTCAGCGATTGGATAGCTATTCTTTTGGACATTATTCTCGTATATTCGAATAGTGCACGTGTCATTCCCAGTCCATCATGGTTTCATTCATATCTTGTACTGTATTGTATCCCATATTGCCCGTATATCTATAATATCAAGAAAGGTTGTAGACGTTTCTCCTTTAATATATGGCTGATTGAACGCAAGCCCAACAGTATGGGGACACAATTAATGGATGAAACTTTTTAAAATTGTAACTTACTTTACAATGTGAAAGAATGTAGGAGAGTACTATAACTGACCTTCCATATGCAATAATTTAGTCCAATTCTTCAGGAAGATTGAATTTATCTTTTATCTACGAGAAGATTTTTACAATCACCACATTACTTTTATTTCAAGCACCCTATATCCTACCTTTATCCACTTTGCCATATATCCGCACTCGCTGTAACGAACAATATCTGTCAGTCAACATGGGCGATATCTTATTGTACACAGATACCATTTTCCTTTAACCTTTTTTTGCGGGGGTATCTATTTATAGAATAATCGTTAAAAACACTAGAAAAAATGTTATAGATGAAATTTCTAAGGGAAATATTGATTCTAAACTGCTGTAATGCATATCTCGAAGGGAGGGCTGAACAAGCAATTATTAATCTATACTTCATCTACTTGTGTAGTAGAATAAAGATTGTATAGTAGATCTCCTTCGTAATAGTGATAGTGAGTTTATAATTCCTATTTCTCGGAACTGACGGTCAACGTTGTTGGAATTTGTCTTATCATTTGCTCCTAAATTAAATCTGACAGCTGTATTGATTTTATTTATGTTCAATTACTTTTTGAAGTTGTGCTAAGGGGTAGCAGTATTTATACTTGTTCTTCATGCTTTGTTTGCACAACACTTTATGTTTAGGATGAACAGCTACAAATGCTAATGAATAAAATATTGCTCATATTCAATACGAAAATCTGCAATAATTAGTGTGCACCAACCAGTGCAAGAATACATACCTAGGCGAACATTTCTATATGTACTGGTAGATAACCTGACAAAGAAGACAAGACGTAAAAGATATCAATAACGGAAAGCGATTTTAGAATTATCATGTCATAATATTACTGCAGGAATAGAATTGATGCTTTGCAAAATGGGCAATGTATCGGCCATAATGTGTGACATAAGCATTGAGAAAAAATACAAAAGTATTTTAATTTAGCTGATAAATTTTGATGCATCTAAATCGCCTTAACAACAAGGTCAAATGTTGAACCATGCTGTGTTAGTGTCTGCATACCATACTATTAATCTTACAACAACTATATTGCTATTCTTTACTATCTTTAATAACACGGAAGAAGATACGACAAAGTTAAATGGCAGCCAATATAATAAGTTAATAAATAAGACTAAATTGGAAGTCATACTATGATGAAACTGTTAGCGAAGCCCAATCTCCGCAATCAGGGTTGACACGAATATATAGTTATTCCATTACGATACTCATAATCGCATTTCTTTTTAATTTACACTTAATCGAGATAACGAACTATATAAACATACTGTAACCGTTTGATGGATTTATTAATTGGTCTTACTGTAATCATCACAATAAGAAAAAGCGTCAGCAATTGCATTTATGATCATTTATTATTATAATTATCTTAATATAGTTTATGGAAGAAATAAAACTGTAAGTTAATACTCAATATTGTTGAATTCAATCAGAGCAGAAGACTTTTATATTGTATCCGTATAGTTCTCCTACTATTGGTATTTGATTTAAGATATGATTCTTGAGAAAGGAAAAAAATACAAATCGCTACAGCTGGTGTTAATGTTAGCATGTATGAATAAATCTTGTAAACAAATGAAATGATCAAAAGAAAGTTTTGAGCAAAATGTTCTACTACCTCAAGTTATGGCTTGCATGTTATTCCTACTTTATACCAATATATATGTATACGGATCTACAATTTTATAATATAAAATGATGACGAATCTTGTTAATAACAGACGATTTCATGAACTAAAATGCTAGATGCAAAAGATCCCATAATGCTTCATCGCATTACTGCTTAGATATTGACTATGCCTCAATCTGGTTGAACATTTTATTTTTAACTGTAAAGCCATTAGTAATGTCTATTTGAAAGACTGTTTGCACTGTGTAAATTTATTGTCCAATTACTTGAAACTGTAAGAGATAAATTTATATATCTTATTTTCATGAGAGTAATTTAGAAAAGCGCTTTTACTTTAATACGATCATCTGGATATAATAATTATAACAATTTTACGTAAGGAATTGGTTAGATTTTTAAAAGTAATATCTAGATTCGGATAAATAAGATTGCTTTGGGTGTTTAGAAGGGTGTCTAACTTAGTTCGTGGCATCATACTGTTCAAATGGTTTCATAACGGTCGTAACGTTAACGGCAAATAATACAATTGGTAGGTTAGACTTTAAAATGCTACACTAGGTGGACATTCATTAATACGATTAACGATATTCGTAAATATTCAATATTATAGCGATTTGATGGTTAATTCTATTAATTGATATCGTCACAAAATCATTTCCTCAACTAGATAATTGCCATTTCATGATAATTATATATTTACGTCATATCTATAGCCACTTAATCAATTTTAAATACGATTATATTTATTTCATAAATACGGTTAAAATCATTTCCCTCCTATTTTCTTTTAACATATTGTATTTGCCGATTAATTTACAATCTCACATTTTATGCTATTAGATCATTAATTGATGATGAGAAAATTTTTAAAGCTATTACCCGTAGTATACAATAAGATACTACTCTATTTTGTTCCATTATTAAATGATGATAAAAAATTTATTGCTGTTAATGCGTAAACCGAAATCTTCCCTAATATTGCTTTAATAGGTATTACGACCGAAGAAACAAAATAATAGGGTTCATATCAATTATAAATCATACCACTATCTATAATTTATGCTCATTGTAATTACCGTATATTCCTGCTTTTTAGCTGGTTGCATGTCCTTTCTGACCTGTTGTGATGTTCAGAAACGGATTATTTTTAAAATGGATATATACATTGAACATTTCATTTTAAACTAGTTTAATCAATGTATATAGATTTCAATTTTAGATTAAGATTTTCTTTAATATAATGTCGCGAAAATGCTCTAGGTACAAAATTTTCTTTCAACCCAACTCTAGATAACAATTTCAATAAATCCTAATTACCTGTTACTATCAGGCAAAAATATTGACAAAATGATCGTGTTTATAAGGCATATGTTATAAATTCTTACCGCGTAAAATAATTAATTATTATCAAACTGAGCCAAGGGTCGTTGACTATCATACCGGATAAAAGTGTAGTATTCACTTTTGAACGTAAGCTGAAGTTTTCGCCATGTCGTAAGCGATTTACTCATTTTTCTGCTAGCATTGTTCTATGTCTAATTCATAGATTTAATCAATAATTAATCATAACCTAATCACATCGGCCATTCCATTTATACGTATAGTCTACGTGATCAGCCTTTTTAATATTTCTTCAACTTCTAGTGCGATTCATGCAAATTCACATACTGTAGTTTATTATAGTAAATGTCATTATATCGATCGGCTAGATTCAATTTATAATCCATTATCAGAAGCCTATTAGCGTTTCTTATAGCATTTTATCCTGATTCGTGGCTAAGTAAGATGAAAAATGACCTAGTAAATGTATATTTACTGTTTCGTCTACTTTAATAACATTTAGTGTTTTAAGTTTATTCTAGACAGCTGTGCATCCTGTACATTACAGCTTTTAGCTTTACTTCAGGTCTCATCACAAATACGGCCATTCAAACGATTTATAGTACTATTAATCTTTAAGTAATTCACAATGAATGCACCGATGCGTAGGAAACTTGTACAATGATGATATTCTGCGCTCAGTTACGTGGAAATTTGGATATGAATGATTGGTATCCACAGCAACTACATTGATAGCATAGCAATTTGAATTATTGTAATGAATTACGTAAATAATTAAAATTCCTTTTTCATTCAATTCAATGCTTTAAAGAATATATTGCGTTAACTGATAGCCTTGATCTTACCGAAAATCGGTTAAATGAACACATGTTAGATACCGGCTTTCTCTGTTATTGATGAAATTGAATCTTTACTCATTATGATAAATATTAATACTGCAAAATGTCAGAATGTTCGTTTTTACTTACTTCAGTAGAATCTATTTACTCCCTCTACAAATATATTAGTGGTTAGCATGAATCTATGAATTACTTACAAGCGAATATTTGTAAATAGGCTATTTCTATGAGTTATCCTACAATTCGTAATCGCTATCTTAGCCAAAAAATACAGAGAGTAATTTCCTATTTATCATTAAACTAGATTTGCTGGGTCAAATTTGTATTCACTATAATTAAAAATTCATGATATTAATGATCATGAACTATCTCAGGATGTATTGACACTATTGCTAATTAACTATCAACATTTGGTTATAAATAATTACTTAACATTAGCCAATAAAATTATTTCATATACGTCAATACTCTAAAAGAAGCAATATTATAATTACCCATACAGATATTTGGTTTCAGTTCCCGAACTCCCGCGATCTGATTACCCAAAGAGATTTCGTAATCAAACGGTCACCATAAACGTAAGAAATAAGGAAAAAAGAAATATTTTCGAGAAAGTTTTAGTCTAATTGCAAACCTTAAAATGGATGCTTTAACAACAACTGCAATTAATGTGACAACATTGCCACCTAGTGATGGAAACCAAACTGGAAATGGTACCATACGACAGGCTTACTTCGGTACAATTTATGTTTACGGTGCTATTACTGCTACAACTACTCTTACTAACACTGTCATGCTATGCTTCATAATTTTTGAACGTAAATTGCATACTATGTCGAATTGGATCTTGGCTAGCATGTTCTGCGTTGGAATCGTTTATGCTTTAGTGTATTTATTTCCGCGTTGGGTTATGTTTGTACCTTGGCGGTTATTTAATAGCTATGCTTGCCAAATTCTGCCCCTAGTTGGTTCTGCTTTAATTATTAATTTCAACTTACATTTAGTATTAGTTAGTTTAGATCGATACTGCTGCGTCATCTTCCCATTTCATTATAATATGCCTCAAGCGCCAATCATAGTTCGAACCTCAATACTTGCTGCATGGGTTATTAGCTTTATTATCGCTTTCATGCCACTTTGTACCTTTTTGGTTCCCGTTATCGGCAAATGCAGCGATCAGCTTAATACCCGTTCTTTTCATATTTATACTCTTGTTGCTTTTATCATGCTCTTCTACCTACCATTATTTATGTTATGCGTCGTTTATTCAAGGATATTATGGATTGTTAATATCCATACTCAACGTCGTAATGAAATTTTAGCACAGTCTAATTTTATGCCCGCGTCTGTGATAAGACGTAATTTGCGTGCCATTACTTATACAGCTATTTTAATTGGATTTTTTATGGCATTTTGGTTGCCCGCTTTAATTCAGTATGCTGTCCTCTTTCCTACAGTCCATTTAGGTTTAGATAAATTAAATATCCAGTTAGGGGAGATTTTTCGTTATTTGAGTTTAGCTTATCCTGCAATCAGTCCACTACTATACGCTTATTTTACCCCAACTTTACGGTCAGAGATCTATAAAAAATTAACTAGTAGAATTTGCCAAAATTCATACAAGAGCTCTCGATCTATCTACCCAGAATATTCCTAAAGATATCAACTCGATTCCATTCCTTTATTTTCAATGGTCGTCCATATAATCTAGAAAATGACAGCAAAGGTTAACTTTTGTTTTTCATACATGAAAGGATTTCGCGGCTATAACCTCCTGGGTATAATTGGGATACCTACCTAATCGAAACATATGATATTTTTCATGCGTAAATAACGAATTCTAATGCATGGATTTTATATAAGAGTGCCATATAAGGCCAATTTGTAATAATCATGCTACTTCTCATCAAATCATTAGTATCGTATTGATCGATTTATGACATACTTAATTGGATGCTTTTCTTGATTTTTGGACGCTCTATTAAATGTAAAATGCAATTAGAAGAGCTTCTTTAATTATAGTTATTCCATTAAAATAAAATTTTCCATTGTGTTTTGCGTCTACATTCACCCATATCATTTAAAGCTCTAACGTAGAACTTTTTGGACATTATATGTGTTTGCTGGCTAAAACACAAACAATAGGTATCAAGCTAACCTTGCATGAACAAGTAAATAGTGCTTTTTGCTTTCACTTCTAAACTACAATATAAATCGTTTAACGTAATCTTCAGTGATAAAATATCAATTCCATTAAGATTAATCGTCTTATTATATTTTGAAAGTAACCAATCCTAATCAATCAATATCGTCATTCTCAATTTACCTCCTAGGCTTTAATCGTAATTTAGATCGAAGGAAGTCTATCTATTAATTAATGAGATTTAATTTAATTCAATCGTATTCAATAAAAGTTAATGATAAAATTTTGTTAATCCTAAATGAAGATTTAATTTTATCTTAAAATACAGTTAAAATTACAATAGTTATCAAATTTTTTATTCGAGACCGCCAAACTCCAGATATGTTCAATAAATGGTTTATTCGTATTTCATTTGGCTGTCTTAGAATTCATCTTGGATTGAAATATTCGTACTAGTATCTTAAAAAGTTTATATACTCATCTATTCGTGTTTCAAATTTCTTTTTCCAAAGTAGGATATATCACACACAGAATAAATTATATCGTACCTAGAAAATAAAATTTGAAATGTTCCATTATGCATTTCTTAAGCAATTCTCTAAAATCAATTATGTTACTATTCTTATAGCTCTTATCACAGAGAATTCGTGCCAGTATTCAATAATTTTAGTCTCTTCACTTAATACTTGCCGCCCATAAATCTAGTATTTCTTCATTACTCCTAAATAGTATTAAAAAAAATGCTATTGTTTCTATAATAAAAATTGTACGCAATTTGATTCTTTGCCTATCTCTGGATAAAAGGTTCTATTGTGGTTACATGATATCTGCTATTAGTCGATTTCCTTAATCATTGACTGAATGTATAAATTATTTTTTTGCTGAAAAGTTACATTGAATAAATTTATTACAACGATAAAAACTAGCCCCACTTTGATAGAGATGAATGCACCAAACATAGACACGCAGCATTTATATGTATAAATTAAAGTAAGCTTATCTACGTTTTTTTCTATCCCAAAATCAATCAAACTTTATTTTTAGAATAGGTAGATAATAGTTTTTGATATTAGCTTATGATAATACAGCAGAATTCTTGTACATTCATATTAGAAATTAAGCAATATTTTCAGAACAAATAAATAATGGTTTAGATATCAGCTTATCGTAATACGGTAGAGTACTTGTGTCCGAGCGTCTTAACTATCACTTAAGCCATATTTGAAGAGAAGTAGATAAAAATTTTCGATATCGATAGAGCATCATAGGGTAAAATACTTACAAACGTTTATTATCTCTTAAATTGTATTTCAGAAACAAACAGATAATAGTTTAGGAGACAATATAGGTCAATGCAGTAGAATACTTGTATACAAGAGTTTTCATTATCAAATAAACTGTATTTCGGAGCATATAGATAATAGTTTTAGACTGCTCTATAACTTGAAAAAATTAAATATTTGTAATGAGTATCATTAATATCACTAATAGAGAATACTTGGATGCGCTTGCTGTCAATAAAACTGCATTGTTAGAGTAAGCAATTAAAATTTTTAGCTATTAATATAACATATCTATCAAAAATATTTCAAAATAAGTAGATAATATAATATCTTTGATATCAGGATAACAAAATATGATAAATGCGAGTACTACTGTACTGTAGTAACTATCCTTCTTACCAATCAAAGTATATTTTTCGGAGGAAGTTAGTAATAATTTAAGACATTGATGAAGCGTAGTACAAACAATAGTTGATGTCGCTACATTTTGAAAAGTGTTTCACATTTTAAGAATCAGGATGGCTTTGACTAAGGCTCGTACAAAATTGTTATGTGGCTTTAGTTGTTAACTATTAAATTACCATTATGTTCTCAATCCTATATCCGACTAAATGTATTCATAATAACTGAGCTCTGATTACAATTACTATCTATGACATTTCTGGTTCTACTACATCTTACCTGGTTCACAACTAGTTGTTATCTACATATTTTGCTGAGCTTCTATATCCAATTTTCGAATTATTCCATGAGAAATGGTCTTTTGTTCACCGCAACTTTATTAAACTGTTTGTTTTATTATTATATTATAAATTAAATCAACAATGCTGCTGATGAATCTATTTGGAACAAATACTGTATCTTTTAGTGTAGTTCCATTAATCTGTATTAAATTTTATGAACCAATTTTACTGTGTATCTTAATAGAGCAGTCAATAGGTTCAAAATACAATTTCCCGTGATATTTAGTGTAAGCTAATCTAGTACGTAGTAAACGGAATAATGTGTGCCGTGTAATCAACTTTAACTTTTTTTCAAAATAAAGACAGCTAATAAGTTTCACCTAAATTAATTTATTCGTTCCTTTAGCGGGAGACTTTGAAGGAAACTAAATGAAGTTACTGACACAGTACCAATATATAGATACAGTGCATCCACTAGATAGCTTAGTAAGGGCTCCGATAGAAGATAGACATCAGTCTTTTATGCATCGATGATCAGTTTCGAATGGTTGGGCCAACTTGCAACTATCATACAGTAGATGACAAGATACTGAGTAGCTGTTATGGTGTTGCCTTGTCATTAGGATAGTTTAATAAGTACAGTAGTAGCTAGTATGGAGAATATCCATATTTGTAGTGCTAGGTAAGATAAGTAATACCTTAACGTGGATGTTGTTTGTAATAGTTCATTACATATTTGATATTGATTGTTATTGTGTGATAGATAGCAGTAGGATGATTCAAGTTCTAGTTGATGATAGTTGAATTAGACAACCTACGAGCTTAGATTAAGATTAAGTATGAGTAAGAGATTCAAAATATTTACTGATAGAAAAGCTACGTAAGGAGCATCTTAGTTCGAGATGATTCTCCTAGTAAGGTATAATAATAATACTGTTGTTGTTTACAAATTAGACGGTTCCTATATAAACGGGAACATTTAAGTTGAGAGGGTGGTAAAAAGTTGTAGACGTATCTTTGCTAATAAAAGCTTCATCTTTACAGTCTTTTGCTGTGTGTATTTAACGTTAAGTAAAAGGTCGTTTAAGTCAGTAGCTACTTATAGACTTTTACTGTACGTTACCTTGTCGCAGAAGTGAAATTGTGACAGTAGCAAATTCAAATAGTACGTTAGCTAATTCAGAAAATGAAGATATCGATAAATAATATGATCGCCACGAAAATTTATGTAAAATGATTATAATAACGATGTGACTAAGGTTGATGAATTAGCAGATTTTAGCTTTAGTACTGGCAATAGCTACACAACTATCTATCAAAATTGAGATTAAATGTTGATATAGTTATTTAAAGTTGTTAACTATCCTACTGCGATTAAATCGATATTAAATGCTAGTTCATCTGTTCAATTTTCTTGACTTTATGCTCTTTAAGATCAAATCTACTACATAAAACAAGTACCCAACCATTACTTTCATTTGAGTAGAAACCATATAAGTGAAGACACAGTATTGAGCTACTGCTGCAGACAAACTATTTTTCAGACTTTTTTTTCGAATTTTAAATAAATGAACTTTCCCTTTATACGTGTTAGTACATCAAAATAAATTAGACCAAATAGTTTTCTTTGAAAATCTTAAGGTTTTTATGTCGTGCACTTGTTACAAAAATGAATTGTATTAGACATACATGTCAGATTTTAACAGGTAAGAAGCCTTTCATTGATGCTGTAATAGTACGAACTCATGAATACGCTGCTGTCAAGAAATTTCTCTTTAAAAGACTATTGCACTTTGCTGCGCGAGCTGTTTTGCAGTGTGCAAGTGAATGAAATAATTATCATTAATAGATACAGCTATGATATGGATTTATTTGCAATTTAACGGTAACTGGACTCCTGGATTTCCGATATATATTCAGAGGCAAGAATTACTAGGATATGCAATTTGATTGCACATAAATATTATTGATAACTATGAAGCGTCTATCTTCCAGATACTACATGGGATGCGCAAATCACTGCAGCATGCATTATATTAATTAATTTACGTAGTAGAAGAAAGCTGATAAAATAATGCGATCGTTTGCATTGATTGTGACAAGTATAATTTTGTTACATTATAGCTGTTGTTAAAATACAGCAATCTAACTTAATTATCTACGTGGAACAATACAATATGTAAAAAATTTGATAAATAATCTAGCATCAAAATCTCTGATGAACTATCAGAAATACGAATATTCCGTTGAACCCAGCTTTTATTTTGCTCTTTTCTGATCAATTTTTGAATTTCGTAGCACTAGATTTGCCTTCACACTTTCGGCTTAAACTAATTAATTATTGCAACTTATCAAAAAGTACAATCTAATAAACTTCTATTATTGTGTACACTTTATAAGTTTCACACAAGTCGTTTAATTTAAAACTGTTTATCCACACCAGTAGACATAAGTTTGTATTATAAACGATTTTTATATGATATAATCTTCTAAGTTATTTTCACTCCCAGCACAAAGGAAATGAATTGTGACTTATTAGAATCCTTATAAATATGATTGATAGTAATTTAGCGATAATAACAAAGTTTAAAACTTACAAGATAGAGTGCAATAGAATTAGCTGTTTAAAATCATCAGACGGTATCATTCGCAGGTCTTCAGAGAATGCTTAAATCCAACTATCCGAATAAATATATGGCAGCCTTTTAGTAATCGAAGATGGATTAACCGTTCAGAGCCTCAAATATCTCCTAGTATGCCAAAGCCAATTTAACTTTGGCATAAAGTAACAATTTTGTCTTCATGATCGTTTCCGTTAAAGGGCACTTAGAACCTTCAAATCTATTAACTAAAAGGTAAAGCATCATGAATATTATGTTGTACAGACACAGCGCACAGACACAGTAGATAGCTTAAAATTGAGTTTTGAGTCCTATGCAGGATATTATAAATAAAATAATTCCATTTCTACAAATGTCGGTAGGATAAATAAAAGGTGGAGAAACATTCCATACAAGTTTTATTCACTTATTATCTAGTATAATAAAATAACCTTAATTGTTACCAATATTCGAGTTTGTCTATAAGTGATTATTCCTAGAAAAGAAGTAGATATGACAATTTAATGAACATATAGACTTATCGAAAGAGTAGTAGAATCTCCATGCAAGTAACTGTAATATTTTTAGTAAAAATTTAAATGTCGATTCGTTAGCTGTAACCAATTTACCTTGAGTTTCAGCGTGAAAATTTTTCAGAAACAGTTAAAATGAGTACTATTAATCCCTAGAAGTAGTACCATTATCAATTTAAATGTAAAATAGGCATCAGTAAGTTTTCTTTATACTAAGTTATTGGACCGCTTGTTCAATTTTTATATTATTTAATCGTGAAAATTAAGGTACGAGCTTGATTACACAAATCTTACAAAATTGTAGAACATATATTTGCGGTGAAAAATCAATAGTTAATAGAAGATTACACTTACCTGGGTCATGATAGCAAAGCCTATTCCCTATATAAGCGCATTGCAGTTTAAAAATGTATATTAATTAAATCAAGGATGATAACTACTCATTCAGTCTAATGAGCTTTTAGATCTTAGCATTGAAATAGTTGCGGAATGAATAAGATGAATCTCACCATAGCTGTTCGGTCAAATGATGTTTGAGATAAGGAAGTGAAAATCCCTCCTACGATGGGTCCTACAACTTGGCTAGTAGTGATTCATTACAACAGTTGTTAATTTCTGAAACTATTAATTGTTAAAGTGTAATTCTAGGTTCTAATGAAGTAAGATTACATTTCTTGATAATTATGATTAATGCACAAACAGAAGGCATACCCGAGAGAAAGAGCCGTCGTAAAAAGTCCAGAAACTACGGAATGAATTACAAAATCACTACTTTCATCAGGATTATCATTCCTAAAGATAGTAGCAATACGTCTTAATATACCGCCAATGCCATGAACACCTGAACATTGAAACTGAATTCTAATCATTGTTGACCATACGTCAAATCCTTCATTGCAACTTCTAGGATATCGGCAAATGATGTCGTAATAGCAGCAGCGCCTGCAATTCCTAGTGCTAGTAGAGATGGAACAGATTGACCTATAGATCTAAATAGAGGATAAAGTTCTATCAGTTAGGTACTACGGTACCTCATCATGCTAATAAAAAATTGAGAACGTACAACTTAATCCGAATAAATGGAGCTGGTCCAACAAATAGTAGAGATATACCCATTCCGATAGAGCCAAAGATTATAAATGGTCGGTATCCCTGTTACCGTAAAACGTATAGATTATCCTCAAACGTACTAAAACTGAGTAAGCTCTCCTATTATCTAGGAATATCTTACATTTATCATTATTCAATGTAATAAAGTATGAAGATATGAAATATTTAATTGCTTTTTTGAACTAACAAAACGGTCGGATAAGTATCCAAATACTGGACTGAATAATCCATAACCAGCAGGTAGAGCAAGAAATATAAAGCCAATTTGTGATGTTGTTAGGTTAAGCTATAGACAAGATGGAACGACATTGCAAATGAATATAATTTGGAATCAATTTACGCCATTATAAGAAAAACTAAAAAAGAAAGTTTGTTCTGACCGGTTTTAGATGGAGCGATAGTGTCGGATCAAGGAAACCTATAACAAGCATTTGTAAAGCTACCCCAAAACCTATAAAAATTAAATAATTTAAAGGTGTCAATTAGTGACTTTACTTTTCAATATTGTTGATTTCTGGATCGCTAGTTGTTTAATGGTATGGCAAAATATGAAAGAGAATGTAATAAAATCATTCTGTCTAAATATTCAGAATACTCCTGAATAAATAAAATAAAGGTTTAAAATTGCAGAAGCTTCCGTTTTCTATCTTACTTATTATCATAACTCTAGGATGTACAATTAGTTGCTTCATTAAGCGCCACGGAGGTGAGCTGGTAGCATCTACAGGTTACATAATTCAACTTAAGATTAAGAAATACTCGTATATTATGCTGATTCTACGGAGATGACAATAAGGCGAAAATGATTAACAAAAATTGAGAGTATTCTCTTAATAAAGTCTATTACATGCTATTCGAGGGATGAAGAAGATGGAAATACATCCAATGACCAGCGAAACTGACCCCAGCACTATGAATGGCAGTTTAAAGCCGCCAGCCTGAATAAGATGATCATAAAATAACTTCCTTGCAATTGGCATAGATACTGATTTGTGTATAATACCTGATATAGTAGGCCACCAATAGGGGGTCCAGCCATTAATCCTAAAGCACTAAATGTTTCTAATGTGCTCTATGTAAGAATACGAAGAAAAAATAGAATATTACAATTGCAGATTATCCTGAAATGGTTACCAAATGTCTCGCTGACATTTGAAAAGGCTTGTGATATGCATCAACATAATTACGAATTAAACCATACATCTTGGATCGATATATGAATAACATTAGACACATTCCAGTAAAATTATCGAGACTAAACTAAGGCTATCAGATAGACATGGATGAGAAATTACTGCACTTAATCACTAACCGTGGCAGTTGCAACGTTGTCAGCAAAGACGGATGATACGATGGCTAAGGCAGCAATTAAAGAACAAGCAGACGCAACGCCTTGAATTGATCTAATAATTAAACAAAACGCCACAAACAGTCCACGATCTAGCACACTAGGTAGAAATCTATGAAAAATTACAAAAGGTAAGAAAAGCATTTTTAGTTTAATTTAGTAACGTTCATCTATTATGACACGGTTATCCTACAAATATGCACGTGTATGTCATATAGTCAGTGTAGTGTAGGAATAGGCTGATTACTATAATTAATCAGTGTCATAATAATATTTTAAGTATATATTGTTCTAGACGCAGTTGTCTTACCCAAAAAGAATATTACAGCCTGCTTCGATGGCTATTCCAGCCCATAACGCAAAGACGACACCTATGCGAGGTAACTATGATGTATATAGTTAGTAGGTCACCTACTTTATCGCAATAGGCATAATGTTATTATTGTTATATCTACAAACTGTGTATAGTTTTAGTTTTTATAATTAACAATAACTGATTGTCTTAACACACTGCATTAACTGCTAGGATACTGATCTTCTACAAGTTGTACACCAAAAAAATTTACTTTATCAAATGTTTGCATGACTTGGAGTAAGGGAAAGTATGGCTAAAATTATCAGCAATATTTTTATTTAGTATTGCTTAAAAGATACAATATATCAATTCATTAATTTTGTATTCTGCAATGGTATAGTTTATATATCTTCGTCATCAATGTATGTCATGATTGCACGGTGTCAATAAGTAACACCTTACCAAAATTCCACATATGGGGGAAGTAAGTAGAGTAAATATTGGATATACAGCGAAAATAAGACCAATTTCAGTATGAGAGACACCTCTGCTTTTAGCCTATATGGGAATAATTATCCATAGATTACTTGAATGAACAGAATAATAAATGATTTGAAATTGTGTAATATATTTACTCGATCCTTAAATTTTGTTGTGTAAAATTCTAGTTATACTGTATTATAAAACATAACAAGATCCAGCACAAACTCGGTAGAGGACGTCAACAATTAGCCAAGTTGGACTGATTTATGGATTTATTAAAGATTAACATTAACCTGTTGGCCTATATTTGTATTTTCCTGTTATCTTATCATTATATATGTTAATTATTAGCTAATTTCCACTACATTAGAACGACACTACTAATTCATTTAATAAAACTCCACTAAAGCCGTGACTCCATTTCTACGTCTAGCCTTCCTCGTTTATTGCAATATAATCCATTTCATGACATCTTGACGATTGAACTCCATCTATCTTTAACGTACAAAATACAGTCCAAGTATCGATGTTTGACCAATGCATTCCATCAAGCACTGTACCGTACATTTAATTATCTGACTAGAATCTAGCTTACACAATTACGTATCATGATCATAAATCATTGCAAAACATAGAAATACTTTGCTTGAATTTATAAGGCATAGTCCAAGTCAATGTTAATGTTTGGCCAATGTACTCCATCAAGTACTGTCTGTACATTGAATTATCTGACTAGAATCTAGCCCACTCGACTACGTATCCTGATCGTAAATCATTGTACAACATAGAAACATTTAGCTTTAATCTATAAGACATAGTCCAAGTCGATGCCAATGTTGGACCAATGTACTGTATCAAGTACTGTGATGTACATTGAAATTTCTGACTAGAATCTATCCCACTCGACTACGTATCATGATCATAACTCACTGCACAATATACAAACACTTTCCTTTAACCCATAAGATACAGTCATAGTCAATGACCATCTTTGACCGATGTTCTGCACTCCATCTATTAGCTATCTGTGACAGTGTTACATACAGTATTAGAGTAAAAATATCTATGTTAGGATAATTTTGTTAGCCTATCCTTATTTAGTTAACTTCTAATTTGGATATACTGCATTTTAATATAGCACTGGCTTTTTGTGGCTGTGACATATGCATGTAATGAAATTAATAGCTATATTAAGGAAGAGTATATAATTGCAGTATATCGTATAATAAAATTAATTCTTGAACTTAGTGTTTAACGTAAAATATGAGGCATCTAAGTCTTTGTGTAGTCTACTAGTAGAGCAAAAGTGTTCCTGATAGTGCAGATATCGTTCCTTGATTTGTGGTTCAAGGAATTGACTTATTGATCGTACATTACATTATCTTGTTGCAAAGCTGTTAGTGAACATTAACTTATTTTTATCGGACGCAGAATATAATAAGAAGATTATAGTCTTGTTACTATCAAGCCTAACAACTTCATTTCTATCCTTCTAAAGTAACTAGTAATGAGTTGATACACTCTACAGTGACACTCAAACTCAGTAAATATTAACATTTCCCATTAATTCTCGAATTCCTTCTAGGCAACCCTACATGAATAGAGTACTATCATTAATTAATTATTGTAGTAAATCATTACATAACCGTGGACTACAAATGGACGCATCCATGCATCTGTCTACGTGTATTATAAGAGTCCATGGTACAGCATTCAGACTTTACTTTGAACGTACGGCATTTTCCATCAACTGCCTACAGTATCGAATTGATCGACTGCGGTCATGAATCATCAGCCAATATTCAAATTTTGCTTTGACGAACTACTATTGACCGGATAGTTGTTGCTAGTACTGTGGCTATCGAGTTATCTACTTATTTGACTATGAGCTGATTTTGTATGACTATTTTACTGACAGTTAAAGTATCATCAACATAGGGTTATGCATACCACTTGTGGAAAAAAGGGCGAGAGCAGAGCATAGACTGATGAGATTAAGAAGTAAACAGTGGACATCAGCACCATGACTACTAATTTATTGCGACGAGAGATGACGGAGACCGATTCCTGACCATCATGGCCAACCAAAGGTTGATATTCATCAGCCATCTTCAATCATGCATTGGCTTGACTTTAGTCACCACAGAGCCAACAAGGATTTAATGACTTTAGTCTGTTCTGTAAGACTGTAATAAATCAACTCGACTACGGGGGGCTATCGTATCTGAAATGGCTGCAGTACTGATGGCCAACGTCAATCACTCCTCAAAGATGTCTGTCCAGCAATCGATTGCTACTCAATCTGCAGTCATTGACTAACTAGATCATATCGAGGGCTACTAAAAGAATCGATTTGCTGAATAGGTCTTCTACTGCTTCATGGTACAGTAGTTGGTCGAAATGGCTAACAGAAATTTTATGCTGAGGAGGAGCCATGAACAATGGAGTATGCCTTTCCGCTGCAGTTTCCATGATCCCTTTGTGGTTAGGTGATGACGCCGGCAGGTGCCTTTGTGTATCAGTGCATCATTAATTCGTTAAGTTGGAATGATTACAAGAATACTTCCACAACCTTGAATAAATCGGCGTATGATTCTACTCTTGGCTGTACTAGCTGATGGATATCTGTCATACAATTGTCCCATGTCAGCCATGGACTACTCCATGATGTAGGTGCATGTGGTAGTAAATGACTGGACGCTTGCAATATGACTAAAAGTGGATTTTCTTTTGTTTTACTCATTTCTTGGACTGCCAGCTTAATCTCTTCTATTTCTGTGATTGTTTACTTAATCATGGATGACGAGAAAGAAATCAGATTTCTTTCTCGTCGTCCATGGCATAATCAATTAGCTTAACGCATCGAGGTAAACCTTTAATACAAGTCGGAAATGACCAACTAATGATGCGTTTCTTTTACCTCTGGTCGACACTTTATGTACATTGTACATCGCCTTTCAAGGTTCGTACTACACAGTACATTCTACTCTCAACGTTAATTAATATCATTGCAATGAGAATCAATCTCCATGAATTCTTATCTTGATGCAAAGAGTAAGTTTGCAACCTACTCCATTAGAACCTCAGGTCATATCCAATTCATCCAACCATACGATAGCAAATCTGAAATGGATTGAATACTCGCTCAGTCTATGCAGTAAACCATCATCTTTTTATGCAGCATCCAACAATGGTAGAGCCAAGTATACAGTACAGTAATATGGGGTTTAGATTAGGTGGTGTGATCGTAATTTTTAAAGTGCTTTCATGGGGTTTAGATTGGGTGGTGTGATCTCAATTTTTCAGAGTGCTTTCACGCAGCATCCAACAATGTTAGAGCCTAGTATACAGTAGAGTAATATGGGGTTTAGACTGGGTGGTGTGATGGCAATTGTAATATCGTTTCCACAGTAATTTTAGTCCACAGAGGAATCCAGTACTATAAAAGCTTTTTATTACAAGGTTCTAAAGAATAGTACAGCAATAATTAATTACTCACAAGAATCTAGTCTAAAGTAATCTGAGCTCAATTAGATATCAAATCTTTTCTCCTCCTTTACGCTCAGATTTGTACACCTTATATACTTTTCTCTGAATCTATTTAAGGCAATAACATCGTCTACAATCAGACATGAATCATCACTACATTTTACAGTATTAATCAAACTGCTTACAATATTATTACTTTACCATTAATGTCCAACACAGTAAGGTATTGGGCATCTTTACAATCTTAGTATTTCAAGTCGTATAACGTCCTGTACCATAATTAGTTAACAGCTATATTAGTGAATAACACTTTCTAATATAGTAGTTACCAGTCACCTAAATCTAGCAGCACAAGAATATCTATTTTTAGAAACTTAACTATTCTAAATATAGTACACAACACAATCAAATATAGCTATCGCTACAAGCAAATATAGGGTGCATCACTACAACAGTACAGTAATATGGGGTTTAGATTAGGTGGTGTGATCGTAATTTTTAATGTGCTTTCATGGGGTTTAGATTGGGTGGTGTGATCTCAATTTTTCAGAGTGCTTTCACGCAGCATCCAACAATGTTAGAGCCTAGTATACAGTAGAGTAATATGGGGTTTAGACTGGGTGGTGTGATGGCAATTTTGCAAAGTGCTTTCATGCAGCATCCAACAATGATAGAACCAATTACAGAGTAATTTGGGGTTTAGATAGGGTGATATGATCGCCATTTTGAAAGTGCTTTCATCATGGCGTGTTTTCTTCCTCTTTTCTTTCCATCTTTTATACTACACTACTGTCAGTATCATGTGATGGACTGGCCACCCACCCCCACCACATTCATCGGCGGTTGTAAACATGCATTGGAGTACTCCTGTACCGGGGACAACTGTGCCATCGACTATAAAACTGTACATGAAAGAGTTCTTTTATGGCTTCAGGCTGTCTGTCCGATACGTACAGTGTACAGTGTACAGCCCGGCCAAGCCGGTTACCGTGCTTTGTACTGTACGGTACTGTACTGTACTCTACTGTACTGCAAAACGTCGGTCCATAGTCTGCAGTGTGGTCAGTGTACTTTATGTTGTACATACGGTACTGTACAGTACTGTATCGTACAGTATAGTCGTACTTCTCCATTTCTGTACACAGAGTCTTTGGCATCGGTACGGTACGGTACGGTGCGGTACGTCATAGCTTGATGGGGTGATTTGCAATCATGGCTATGATGTCATGGCAATTTCGCCCGGCTGTCTATTCTAAATAGTGTCTTAGCTCCATATTGAATTTGGATAGTTTATTAGATCACTCGATAATATAAGATTGGAACAATTTGAGCTATCCATGATATAATCAAAACACTCATCAGAAAACGTTGATACTAGTGCCATCTACTATTGGGTAGACAGAGTTGGCATACTTTGAATACTCTTCCATTCGGTAGAAAAGCATTTCCTTCAATATAACTTGTTGGAAGACGATTTGATCAAGCTAAGCTGCTAGTCGATAGAAGAAGATCCTACTTGCGATAGCATCCAAGTGCAGGCATTTCTCTCCTTGATTAGGGAGAGATATTCTTCTGCCTTCATCCTTCAAGTTTATCGTATCAACATTACCAAGTAACCGGTTCATCTACCGCAGAGATGAAACGGTGGAAGGTAATCTCCACCAATGTGTCTATTGGCGTCTTCTTTCTCTTAGGAGGAATTGAATATGGTAAGATGCAATGCATGATGTCATGGCTAGATGAACGTACAGACTGATATCGCTCTTACTTAATAAGCGAAATTTGACTATGATAATTTATCAACTATAAAAATTGCATTTTCAATTTCATCATATCACACCAGAACAAATCAACTTGATAAGTAAACTAGAAATGGATTACAGTCAGTCAATATAAACAGCTAGACATGGATAATTGATATTGCTGATGATATATGAATGGCCTTTATTCAAACAGTAATCATTTATCATTGAAACAAACTTATTTTTGCCGACAATCAATTTCATCACCAGTTCAAAAAATTATTTCTACTATTACCAAATATTATCAATGTCAACTTAATCGAGTAAATAAACAGTTACGTAGTTATCTATTTCACTATCTTAATGATCGATTTCATCAGGAATAGATAAAAGAGATATAATGATTGAATTTCACATGGACTTGCTTGTTGTCTTGCTATCTTAATCAACGCGAGTGCTCTACTATAGATAACTAAATGATAGTCCAAATTTCGGTACTTCGTTGTATTATAGGCAGATTTTAAGGTAAAATCTATTTCAAACTGATCAAGTTATAATAACAGAATGCAAATATTATTGTACACAGAACTGTGTACATGTTTAAACAACATTACTTTGAAGCTTGTTAGCCGGCAGCGGAACGATGATCTAATCTAACGGCATATACGCGTATACTTTAATTTGTAAATTATCAGTATTAATTTAATCTTGTTATCGAACAAGCTGTCACTGTCATGCCAATCGAAATGCAATTGCAGTAATCCTAACTTCCAGATAGCAACACCAACGAAAAGGATTACACTAAAGTCATTTTCTATGCTAGCAATGTGTCGAATAAATAAACTAAAGGATAATTGATCATGAATGCTAATATTCCTCCCAAAGCATGGACTCTCCGATATTAACCTCCATCGTAATCGTTGATATGTTTATTTACTCCTGTCTGTTATTACATGTTCTATCATCAATTCTACTTTGGATGCTTATAATCATATTTTGACTACAATTGAAGTGTTCTATGGCAGTTGCTACTATGCAATTGATACGATGGAGTTTAGCACATGCTGTCTACGATATTGCCCTTTCTGAGTCAGTCAATGCTAACTAGATATCGTCTGAAACGTACACATGCAGAAGAATCGCTTAGTTAATACATTCAGCGAAGAGATAGAAAGTTCTATAGGCACGATACAGCTACAAAGAGCATATTTTTTCTTTACCGTTTATGAACGATATTACTATCAAATGTACTTTACTGCATACTTACGACAGTCTTAAAAAATGTCGCTTATATATTGTAAAGTCCTAAGATTTATATTAAAAGACGATCAAATGAAAAACTTGAGCTACTGATTAATATGCCTACTATCGTATTGCAATTTTCAGTAATTTTTCCTACTTTCGGAACGGTGATGGGTAGCTAATTATAGTTGTTATTACTATTTTATCTAATAGCTGTAATTATACCAACCTTATTCAACTTTGTTGTCAATCGATTTGGTGGTAGCAATTGGATGTATGGCATGATATTGTCGGCATTCAGCTTCGCTCAACTCTTTTCTAACCCGTTAATGGGCTATTTATGCGACCGCTCCAAAAATGCTAAATGGGTAGTCATCTTTGGCAATCTATTCGAACTAGGAGGTATGAAGAGTTACGCTGATATCAGCATTATTTCGATCATTATAGTAAATGTACATCAGAACCTGTTACGTTATGCTTGTGTTGTTAACGTAAGACCTTAGGAGAAGCCACTTTACTATTCTCTTTTCCAGATTTATATTTATTTGCTTGTGCTAAGTCCTCAAATTGCTAATAATTAATTGTACGACTACGATTGTATTGACAACTGTTTAATTCAAATATTCTACCTAGGAAATTTTTTATATTTTGCCGCACCATCACAATATTGGCTGCTTGGGGCTAGATTATTATGTGGCTTTGGTGCTGGAGCTGGTTCGGCTATACTCGCCCAGATTGCCAGAACGAGTACAGTTGCTGAAAGAACCAAAGTCTTTTCACTTGCTATGATGGCCAGACAGTGTGGAATGTTGTTAGGTTAATACGTAACTACTTAGAAAACTACTTTGATAGCAGGATGTAAATAGGAGCTTTATCTAAGCAATCTTTGTAAAATAGTACTTAAAAAATTTCAAACAAATATTTCACCTATAAACATACTTTTCAGGACCTGCATTTAATGTATTCCTAAAGGGTCTTCATTTTAAGATTGGACCTTTTCAAGTTGATGCTTTTACGTCTCCAGGAGTAGGCAATATTCTTAATTTGAATAAATCTTTTTGTTATATTTTCGCATCTTATGATTACATTAACATTTTAAACCAATTCCTTGATTACGCAATATATAGATTATGACAACATTCTTTATATCACGTTCAAAACTGTTTCTTTCAGATTTTCATGGCATGTTTATTCCTGCTTGATGAATTGATGATATTATTCTTGTACTTCGATCAACCACCACTTTCTAAACGTGAAAGAGACGGCAATCAAACTAGTGAAAGTACTGAAAAATCTCCAATAATAAAGTCTGGGCGTATGAATAATTACGGAACTGGGCTTGATGAAGAATCTCAACATACAGATCCGACTGTTGGTATCAATGCTAGTTGTTCTATTAATGCATCTTCAGATGATGAAGAAATTCGAATTAAAAAGCCGAAGAAGAAAGGATTTTTAGTTGGTAGGTTTCACATATGTTTTAAATTTTCAGTGCATGTAGATACTAATTCAATGTGTCACTATGCAACCGGTTGTTATGCCGTTTACAATGATATAATATTCATTAAAAGTAATTATTTTTAGTATATCCACCAATGTGTAAGGGTTTTAAAGTTTCTTTCCCCATGTTATCCGTTGTAGGCATTTTGCGAGAGGAGCTAATTGTGTTATTAACAGCACAATTTGTAGTTTTCTTCAATCAAACCTCTTTTGAAGTAATTCTACTCCCTAAACCACTAACCTCAATTTCGACAGTTGGTAATATTGTTTCCGTGCTGTTTCTAAGATGCTTTTTATAATTGCCTTTAGACACTAGTGATCCCATTAACAGAAGAACTACTTGGTTGGGGTGAATTAGCAAATAGCATCATGTACGGTGTTGTAGGCTTGCTGGCCATCATCGTGTTCTTACTTATTACGATAATTAGCAAGAAAATAGAAGATAGGTTAGCAATCAACTCTTATTATTATTTTGAGCATTACATTCGTGACGATAAACTAGTCATGAAGTTTTAACACTTCCATGTGATAATCATCGCTAAGAAAGTAAAGAAATACTTTTTCACAATTTCAGATGGCTTATGGTAATTGGGATTGTAGCGCAAACTTTCTCCCTTGTTTGGGACATTGGATTTTTTGGCCAAGCAACGCGACGTCAGTAACATAAACACTAATGGATATCGTATACAAGGGCCTAATATTTTAATACCATATTGTTTTCCTTCATTTTTTATATATCTCTTTAGATACACCAACCAATTTAATGGCCTTTATCATCAGTACATTTTTCATAGTTAGCGGTGTTCCTTTCTTTATCGTTTCATCATCTTCCTTATTTTCAAAATTAACAGATGAAGAAACACAAGGTATCAAAAAGTATCACAAAGTCTTCTTATTCTTAAATATTAGTTTGTACTAATGCCCCGGTAAAATCGAATAATAGATAGTATTAACTTGAATTATAATTAACGTCTCATACACAGGGCTAACCCAAGGTTTCCGACGTGCAATCGCCAGTGTTGCAACGATCTTTGGTCCGTTGTATGCGGGTGGTCTTATCCATAATCTTTATGCAACGTTTGGTGTCATGGCCGGCTTAGTTGTGTTTTTAGCTGTAAGTACCGGTAGTGCATTACATTATTTTATAGTTAATGGCATTAATAAGATCGATTAATAGGTCATGGTAATTAAAGACCGCTCCTACTGTAGCTTTGAATACCACTTAAAAACCTTATATTTTTATATTTATCAACTAAACATTAAATATAAATTTTCAGATCATTTTGTTCATGTCTTTTAAAACCTTACGTGAGCCGTCCAAGCAACGTAGAAAAACAGCAGAATTAAACGAAGATTCTCAATAATTGTATAATAGCTATACTTACATAATTTTTATTTCTAAAGTGTGGATGTAACTACACTTAACAGTTGCCTTATCCTTTGATTTTACACAGTGTATCACCCTGTGGCAACTAAAATGCAAAAGCAGATAAAGTATTACCAAATCTATTGTAGGGCGTATTTATATCAACCTTGAAATATATTTCTAAGAAATTTTGAATAATTTGATATTTTCTGACGGAACTGAACCAACTGACTAATTCAGTCCTGAAGTAATAATAAATTTTATTATAGTTATAACTTGCGTACATGTCTTCACTGTATTTATCATTGTGCCTTTACGTTCTTTAAATTGCATGATAGTTTTTAAAGGTACGCGATTCGACATGCGTCTTTACCTGATTACAAGTACTCTTAATGTAAAATTTGTTACATTTTGCGCAGACTAACGGTCGAATCAACTTAGCGATTAGTTATAGCGTATGCAATAGTAAAAGATAGTGTAGGTGTTGGAATTGCAGTGCTTTAATAGAATTTGTAAAGGCATCTGCGCTCATTCTGATAACTTAGTGTACGCTTATATGCTACTGAGATCTAGTTTATTAAATTACAGCAAATTCTTTTACCATGATATATAGGTAAATAAATTAAATTTTTCATTACGGGTTACAGATGCAATTCAAATTTAGTTAAATCTTTGAAAATACTGATTGATACTCCAGTTACAAAATATCGCAGCTTCTAATTATTCCTGTCGTCATTACTGCCGTTTAGATATAGACTTACATTGAATTAGGCTAGAGAATAGTTAAAGAAATAGGGAGATTACAATCACTATATCATTATTTATATTAAATCGAGAAATGTTGGAATTAAATCGTTACCATTATCATTATACAATACAATATAATAATAATACCTGTATACCAGTTTAAAATCAGAAAGTCCTCTATACAGGTAAAAATTAAAAATTATAACGCACATCTTAAAGAATAACTTAGTTTCAACGTTAAACTTGCAACTTGTAAACATTGCTGCCATAGATAGACATGGCTCTAATACATACGTATACTATTTAACAGATTTACAAGCCTATGCTTAAATATTATTCAAATTGTAAACGATAGAAAGCATATACAATCAGCATTACATTTACAGGAATGGTATAAAAAACGATGTTGAAATTTTTATGTTTAAAAATAGGACAACTTTCAATAGATAAATTGGTGGTAAATGAATAGACCAAAAGTTAATGTAGAGGTAGCTATTACGTATAATTTATTTATTACGATCGAGAAAGAGTTGACTACTAGCTGCTAGCTTGAATTAGGAATATTCAAATAAAACAAAATGTAATGAGGCTACAAGAAACACGGGCTTAATAATGTTGTTAGTTTTATTGGTGCAAATAATTAAACAAATTATTAGTGCATGTTAACCATGTACTAACGTAAAAGTTATAAAAATGTCGTTACAACAGTCAGACAACATTAATAGGTCGAATAAATTGTAAATTTAATGGTAGCCTAAGCTACTACAAACTATATGGCGAAACTTTAAGAGATCGTTATTGACTTCAATTGCAAATTATTCGTAATGGTTATAATGAGAGATTAAAAATAATTTTAAATATCGTAAAGACGGCAATTGCATCGAAGGAGACCGTCAGTATTTAGGAATGATATCCAAATCACTTAGTAAATTGACTTTAATCCAGCATTATCGGCATAAGGCCACACTTCAGTTGAAATCAATAAAAATATTAATCCACAGCTTAGTATGCAATGGAATGACTCAATCTTCGAAATAATTAATTGAAATTTTTCAGTCTGAAGGCGATAAACTATTACTGCTGCTTGATTAGCAGTTGGATCATTGAATATGTGAGTGGTTGTGTTGGTTGAAAAGTAGAGTACATTAAAATAGATATCTTTGTAATGTTGAAGAATGATAGTTGCTGTAGGAATAGCATAATAAAAATCGGGATCCAAATCTACAAAAGTACTCCAGATTTCGATTGCTGTTACCATAGCCAACATTTCTTAAATTGAAATAGTTCATTGTCGTTACTTAATCTTAATATAAAAGTAATTAAATGCGGAGCACACAAAGAACATTTGTATGTATATCAAATTCAGACTCTTATTGTTTAACAGTCTCCAGTACCAAGAAGTTGAGAAGAATTTGTGAATTGTAATGAATTTACATTCTATTCCCATCTAGCCAATACCGGAGATTCAGCTGTGATAAATATACCATAACAATTGAACCAAAAATTATTTCTATTAAACTTTCATGAGCGAATGATCATGTTTGCTGTTAATCACCTTCAGTGAGACACAATTGGTTCTTAGACTATTAATTCGTCGGTAGAACCAGTATTTCCAGTCTGTACTGGTCTTTCCCAGCTTGTTTTTTGAGTTATATGGCTAAATAGCAACAAGTTAATATAGTGTTATGTTTAACTTTAATCTCAAACATTAGAAGTTGATGATATTACGAAGTATAAAAATTAGGTCAGTGGAAAAGTGAACATAGATTTTAAACTTACTTCATGTAATACTTTTGGCCATCAGCAGCTATCGCTTCAGACCAGCCATATGGAAGAACTGAAATTATTAGTATTTCGTTACAGCACATGTAGTAAAAGAAGAATAATGACAACGAAGCCGCTATCATGCAGTGTTTTCTATAGTATCTACATACTAAGTACTTTGTATAACAGAAGAATTCATAAGAATTGAAGTTATTAACCTATAACTTACCGTAAAATTCTAGCAAAGGCTTTACGGTCTTTAAAATCGTTTTTACATCCTTCAAAATGCTATTATTTTGGTCTTTATTGGGATATTCAGGTATCGATTTACCTGGAGGTCTTGGATATTGCGATTTAGTTCCAGTATCACCACCTTCGCTTATTGTTGCTTTAACTGTCTGAACAAATGCAAGTAATTTCTCAGTGGCCGCTTCGTAGTTTTGCTTAGTTTGCTCAGCTTTCTTCAGTTCACATTCAAGTATGGACATTTGCTTTCTTATTTCATTACTTGCGGACTTGATATGATATAAAAAATTAGCTCATACGCGTATATATCAAGAAACTTGTATTATAAATTAGCCTACTGTATATAGCTAAAATTTTCATAACGGAGACATTAATCTCGGAAAATACCTGTTTCAGGGCTCGATGGCTATTTTTAAGCTTGGATACATCGTTTGTTAGGTTTTTAACCAGCTATACACGATTAAGCACATATTGTATTAATATACAATTTTCAACAGCATACATGCTTAGTTCAAAATTTTATTTCTGGCATCTTACCGCTTCATACTCTGATTCAATTTGCTTCGCAGCAGTATGAGCTTCATTTTGCAACTGAATCCTCTTTCTTAAGTCTTGATTTTCCTTAATAGCCTTTTCTACATCCTGAAGTTCATAAAAACAATCACAATAGTAATTTTTTCTTAATTTAGCCCTCATGATATTATTTAACGAATGGATGATGAAACAAATGAAAGTAAAGGCTAAATATAAGAATCAAGATGAATATCTATTTCAACTACAAATTGACAAAAAAAATTCGAATTAATATTGCTTCTGCTCATTTTCAGCTCTACCTGTCGGATATTAAATAATTCATTGTCAGCTGCTTTCATACTCCTTTCGTTGTCTTGTAGTAGCACCTTTCAAGAGATTAAGGATAGTTGCATACATTATTTTTTGTTGGATATTTCTGATAATACTAACCAATAATAAATATTAGCAAAGTTAGAGTACCTTTAACTGATCAATTTCCTTATAAGCTTGATCACGTTGACTACGAACATTTTCTAAGGTTTCCATAATATTGACTGATATTGGTTTCGGAAGGAAGCGAGCAGTGCTACCCGATACTGAAGTAGTGCTTGATTTAGCTGTTGGCAGCTACATCAATTAAAGAATCTTCGTTTAAACTTCACGGATGTTTCAGTTTTGTGCATATTAATTGTTCTTTGATACAAAATACTATCGGCTGGATTAGATTCTTACCTGTGATAAAGAAGCACTGGACAGTCGTGTCGTAGAGCCATCTGTAGTTCGATTTCCCAAACTTTTAGGCTTGAGTTTATGAACTGAATCATTAGCTGGAGGCAACTGAAAGCGAAAAACTTCTCTAGCTGCTCGAACAAATTCTGCGATAGAAATAGGGATAGGAAATTTACAAGATAAATCACACCACAAATCGCTCGATAACTCACTAGAAATTACAATTTATAGCTTATGCTATTTAAAATAGGATACCTCCATATGTGATATAACCAGAAGGGTCGGCTAAGATTCTTCTCCTTAATTTTTTCTGCTCTTCTTCTGTTGGTTCTAATCCCAGGTATTTTAGCGCCTGGTGATATAAAGTGAAGAGTGTTAGTTGGCAGAGTAGAGAGTAGTTGTGCGATTGTTAGTATAATTGCACTTTACCAGTTCCATTTTTTCAACTTTAATCTTCTTAGTTGGATCCAAAGCTAATTTGTCGTTTAATGGTAGCGTACTACTTAATGCGGGCCTTAACCCTCCCAAGTTAGATGCCGTATCGGAAAACGAGGACGTTCGTTGATGTGTTCCTTCGGCTAGATTTTTTAGGTCCTGAGCGAGCTAGATAATTGTAGGAGTGTAGTTAGTACTATGATATTGCTGCTGAGCTTTGCTCGCTGTGTTTAAATTTCTAAACTTAACTACAATCATCAGCTGCTGAGAGATAACTGCGTTGTATTTTATTTTGATCTAATATCGGTTAGTAGCATTGTGGAAGCAATTTTGTAACTGTAATAGTCCAGTAAAGTTATTTAATGGTCTACTTGAATATTTAATGTCCTATGATCTTTGTAAAATGTTTAACAAAGCTATAATGTGGGACAATTTATCAAGCGATGCTACAATTTTCAGCCTAACATTATTGACTAAATTTTGACAACCTTTCGTTCCTGTTCCGATTTTATATTACTTGCAGGTGGGGAGGGATATCTTTGCGGCTTTTCCATTTTAATATCACCATTTCGTCGAGGTGGAGAAATTTCGTCGTGATGATATCGAGTAGGAGGAGATGTCGGTGATGGTGTTAAATCGGGCTGAGGACTTCTATCTAACTCCGGCTCGGTATTAGTATTACGACTATCAAAATCTCTACTATTTAGTAAGGAATTACGAGTTGGACTAGAAAACAAGGAAGCTCTTGATGAGGCAACTGAGGAGTCACCATAAGGCTGTCTAGATTGTATTAGCCGACCTTCATTAACAAGGTAAGTTCCTGCTACTGCACTAAATGAGGAATTTAGGCTACTGTTTGAAATGGATTGAATCCTGTTGTAGGCATGTGGACTGTTGCTGTTGCGGATAAATCCAATTTCTACTTCAGTTATTCTATCCCTAATGTTATGTCAGTGAATATGAATTACTACATATTACGTTCACAATTATATTTATCAGCCTTATAAAATTATCAGTATCTAGCAAAAGGCTATTTTTGCAATGATATTCATAGCAAAATAATATAATTAGCTTGATACGTTCTAATTATAGTTAAATTTTTACTATAGAATAATTTTACTCTAGTAGTTTTTACCGAAGACTAATCAAGAATTTTATAAATACTTCAAATTTATCATAAAATTAAGGCTATTAACAAGCGCAAACAAAAATAAAAATAGAAATGCAACAATATCTAACCTTAGCTTTAGCCTTGTAATAATTGATTTTGCATATTCTTTTGTAACATCAACTAATTGCTCGCCCATAATAGAAACAATATGATCACCTTTTCGCATTCTTCCATCCTACAATAGTGTCGAATATACCAAGTTAATACTGTGCAGTAAATTATTACTTTAACAAGTCAAGAAAACTAAAGAACATAATGTAATGCTGATGTTTCACTTGCCTTGTAGACATCACCACCTGGAACAATTTCTTCCACAATTAATGGTTGGCCGCTACCTCCTGTTAAGCTTAAACCTAAACCTGCTTGTGTTTTATTAATGACCACAAATCTAGCTCTTGAATCTATTGGCGTAGTCCTAGAATTATTGCCAGTTGCTGATAAGGAGGTCGATCTTTCTGAAGATTTATTATGATCTGTTCTATCTTGACTTGCTTTGCCTTGTTGGTAGACATTGGGCATTGAAGGGTATTGGCCATTACCGGATAAATCGTGCCTTTGTGATGAAATTTGATTAGTACTGCCTCGATCTACACGGTCAGTAGAAACGGACCTTTTATTTCCAGATGGTGGAGAAGAATGCCATGCCTGATTTCCCCTATGGCCTGAATTAGTAGAGGGACGATCTTCAATGGAAATTTGGCTATCTAATCGACGATATGATCCGGGAGAACCATTTAGTTTTGGCATGGATGTGCTCATATAACTACGTCTATCTTGATTACTGGAGTTGATATCTTTTTCTGGTGTGGCACTAAAGTCGGAATAGAAAGACTGCTGGGAAGATCTGGATTGTGACGATATAGAATACGGGCGTTTATTATCGCCATAACTTGCATGGTTCGATTTATATCCATTAGGAAGACCACTAGGAACATATTCATATTCTGGAACAGCACCGTTTTGCGACGTGACAGGTTGCATAGTTTTACCGTTAGCATTCCAAACCCAATTCGATTTAGCTAATCAGGATAAATACAAATAAGGAATTCAAATTAAGTTCTTTGATACTGTAAATGAAAATTTTCAGGGTATAAAAACTGGTTAAATAAATTCAAATCTACAGTAATTAGGAATAATAATAGCTAATTGTAAGCATTTTAAAATCAAGTACACTATGTCGTTGATCAGACAATTAATGTTTGGCTATCAAAAATTTACATCCATCGGCGCCGTTCAATTTTCCTGATAATCCTGCGAGCAATCGTTCATATTCGGCTCTAATTCAATGAAATCTTTGTTAAGATAGTTTATAGCCACAATAAAGCCGTTTATTAATGTTCTATTGAAAGCTCTTTTACAGTATTGAAGACTTAATGATTCAGTTAACACATTAGCAAATGCTACGATTTTACGGTTGATTTATTTGTATATGATACACTGTGCATAAAGTCATATTTCAGCACAGTAACCCACCTTGCATCTCCTCCTCTTGCTATGATAAGCTTGATATCATCTGATTGCGAAGCCGATTTTAAAATAGATACAGCTCTATAATTTATTCAGACGAGATTGTAAACGAAATGATTTTAGGGCATTAGTACATCTAGCAATACAATATTAAATAAAATACTTAGGTTTCTATGCTATAAAAAAATTACGATCTTATCAATGAAATAAAATTACTTATCGCTAGAAATCCCTTGCAAATCGATTCCATTAACTTTAAGCAAGAGATCCCCTTCCAGTAATTGACCTAAATTGTACAAAAGATAAATCAATCAACTCAGTTTGGTTTTAAATCAAACGAAAGTTTAATTTTAAGGTTTAATTTTTTAGCTAGAGTTTGTATTCTGATGAAATGATTCAATTATAAGGCTAAAGGGTTTCATATGAATTAAAAAATATTTCAAAGAGGTGATTTTAGCATTTGATTATCATTACCACTTTTCTTAGCTGCTTTATCAGATACTAATGCTTTAATAAAAATTCCGAATGGTCTTCCAGCTGCACTGTTTGTTCCACCAATTATCCTTACACCTATAATATGCAATCATGAAATCAATTTGTTAGTATAGTATCAAAGAGGTTATAGTTCTTGTTCGTTTCTATTGATCGCTAAAGAATATTAAAGTATAATTATTATTTTATGAACTGATGTAATAAGTTAGTAAGATTTTACCGATTCCATCGCTGCAATCTTTCAGATGAATACGGAGGATTTTACTGTTGCTGTTAGAATTAAAATTTGATGTTAAAATAAAGTTCAAAGTAGTATAATTACCAGCCACACCACCAATTCACTGCCCTACACAAGTCCATCTTTCAAGGTCATATCATTCGATAGTATTTAAGCACAAAATTGCTCTTATGTCCTCTTATAGTTAACATATGTGTATAAAGCTATCAAGTATTTCATGATTAAAGGACTACTAATGATCTACTACATTAGTTTTAACTTGAGATAAGAAAGCTACAGTGATATTTTAAAACTGCCCATTACACACTTGGCATAATAGCTATTGCTGTTGAGCGTTACTTGAATAAAAATTTCAAGGATATCGATAGAGTATGATGAAACATATATATTTAAAGATAGGAAAGCTGATGTTAATTATTTAATATTGCCAACTGCTCGCTTTCTATAGAGTCTATAGGAGTATTAATCAAAAACCGTTGTAGAAGGATACTAATAGATCAAATATATAAATTTAAAATAGGAAAGGTAATATCTAAGTTTGTTTTTCACGCGCTTCATATCTGTAGCAGCCGTTACACGGATACTCATAGGACCTAATACATTTAAAGTTTTAAAGACAGCAAAACTAACGTTTACTGTAAAATTGCTGGTCATCTGTAAAGTAAATTGGCTAGAGTATTGATCGAATAACTACCATTTGAGGGCAAGATTAGCAATACTGTCGTTAGATACCGGAGTAATAATAAGCTTTTACTACAGTACGTAGATAGATTATTAATCGAGAACACGGATACTTAAATGATTGATTAACCAATCGACAAGACCATCAAAGTTGAATATAAGTCAATACTGACCTTGATTGTGACATGTTACCACTTGTAATTCAACGTTTCTAAATTGTATAAAATGGATCAAAAATGAATATCCGTTATATAGCATCAAGCGTAAAAGTAGATTAGATTAGTCTTTCGACTATGATAAAGATGGAAAACACACAAGTCAAAATATCTCATAAAAGTAAGGTAGATATTTTCGAGCCAATGCCATGCACAGCATGATAAGTCTTAAATGAAGACCAAGGCATAAACGAATTAAAGATGTTGTCGTTATCATAATATTGTCATAACGCCATTTTATATTCTTCAATCAAGTTTTCAACGATTGATGGTTATATTGCTGACATTCAAAAGCGAAATTTGCAAAACCTAAATACAATTATGTTTGCGTGCTGATTCGTTGATATTGGAAAATTGTGATTACTATGTTAAGGTCGAATCGATAAATTGTGAAATGATTCTGCACAATAAGTGGACGAGTTGTTGTATGAGCATTACCATTACTAATTTAGGATAAAAAATAAGCTATGATTCTGTTATTCCCATCGGCGAGCTTACTGTTATAGTGAAGATTATACAAACTAACTCATATAGAGAATAAGAAATTACTACAAAGGATTACTTCAAACTTTTCAACTTGCTTAACCTATTTCTCTCTCTTCAAACACCTTTCAAAGCGTCGCTATCCTATCATTTTGACGGCAGTAGTAAACTATGCCATCTTTTTGAGTCAATCAGTGTCTATTCAATTCGTTACCACTAGCAAATAGTTAATATGGAATGACTTTGCTCTTTCGGTCCTCGGTAAAAATGATTATAAAGCTGTCCAGACCGCTAGTAAGCTAACGAAATAAATACCCAATGGAAATTATACAGTGTTGGCCATGACTTTCCATTGGATTTGTTGGATTGGCCGTAGTTCATGACGATTTAGGATGAGGTGAATTATTAGTACAAGTATGATTTCATACTGTGAGAATCTATGAACTACCGTGCGATTGAAAATTGATGGATAATAAAAGTCATTATTAACGAAGAGTTATTTCTACCTTGTGAATTTTCAAAAATGGAGTAAATTGATTGTATCAAGTATCAGAGTTGAACAGGCAATGAATGTTATCTGATACTACAGTCTATCCTTTTTTATCATGACGTACGCTCAATTTGCACATCTTAATTTAATATCGCAACGAACAGCGATGGCAATTAATGTCAATCTATAATTGAATCGGTTCAATTAGACTATTTCAGTTCTAAGATGACTACAATCATGACTTTGTACAAATAGATAGGGTATAGGGTTGAAATAATGAGAGCAAATTCAAACCGCGTACGCTCAAAGCTGATGCTATCCACTCGGTTGTAAACTCCATTCCTGCTTTGTAGGAATGGACAGAAATAAGAAATCAGAACAAGAACATTTTACCCTCTTTCGTAGGAACGCAATGGGAATTGATTTCGAAGAATCACATCAAGTTGTTATGAATTGAAAATAAAGAGAATCAATTGGTTTTCCTGTCTTGCAACTGGCTTAATTAATAGTGAACATAATGGTCAGTATCAAAACAAGCATAAAGTCGAGATGATTGATTTGGAGGATGGCGTTCGTACTGACTGTAAAGTAACTGATTTTAAAAAGTTTAATTTCATCCAATTATCGTTGTTTCAATGGCAAGAGTTAGTTTTGTAGATGACTACGATAGAATCTCTCCTGGCCCAGTTATGAGAAAAATTGAAAACATACATGGTTGAGACAGATTACGATCAGTGCAACAACGTGAATTGGAGTATCTCGCCTTTTATTGCCCCTATTTTTATCGCCTTTGATCGATGTCACTATCGAATGGCGTCTCCATTGACCCTAGACTATCCTGTAATTGAATTTTCTTTCTACACATTGATATCCACTTTGCAAAATGGAAGAAAACGATACCAATTAAGAATTTAAAACAGCTTATGACTCAAGCTAAATAGTGCCAATTCAAGCAGAAAAACGTGCAAGTTTGATAGAGTACCTTATCTTGTATTATCTAATGATCATGATGTTATCATGATCGATTATCTTCTATCGCTTACATACTGTAGATCGTATGCTAGTTTCGTAGTAGAATCATCGATCGATGAATGGATGTCGAAATTACAGCGTCAAGGAAAACTAGACTAATACTAGTCAGATTAAATAATGATCCTTAAGCTATGAATAGGCCTGCAAGCAGTTTGATTTGACTGTAACCGGTCGTCATCGATCATGTTGGTCGTCCATCCACGTTCAGAATCATGAAATCAATTTGGTTCCGTGGCGATGACCAACAGCATTTAACATCATATCAAGTCAACTGTAATCGTCATTAACTACACCTTAATGTTGTGGCCACTGGATGATGGCCATGATGGTTGGTTGGTCTTATAAAATAGGGGGAAAATGCACCTTACCAACGATATTGTCGACCACCTCCATTACTGTTGTTGATACTGGTTGTGATGAATCATGCTGTACAACCTACTCCGTTGTTTAGATAAAAGTCTTACTATTTGGCTGTCATTTATTGAAGTTAGTTACCTAGTAATGGAAATGATGAACCCAATCAAGTAATTGGATGATTAACCAAGAAAATGCAGGAATTCAATTGGCAAGCTTGATGGATTGGTGTTCTTTTGAAGCTCAATAAATCCAAATGGAGTGGACGAAGGATTAGAAGGAAAGCTTGGAGGCTTGGGGATATTTTTTTTTACCTTCAAAAAATGCGTAGACTGACGCTCTAGCTTGAACTTCACAGATAAGAATACAATGACATAACCGACAAGGTATTGTTACGCAAATGAGCTTATCAATCTAAATGACTTGATGTATTGTTTTCAATCGCTGATAGTAGAACAATAGCTGGTTGCCGCTGTTGGGCGACACCACACGATCGACGATGGGATGAGAACCGTTACCGCCCCCGTTGTGTGTCACGCTCGGAATATGACTTGCAGTCATGGCTACAGCACTGTGTACGAGTAAACTGTACTGCAAGTGGTCAGTGCACTGCCACTACTAGTACAACACCCCAAGCTAGTGGTAACAACTCATACAGTAGTTGGAATTCTTTCCAGTGGTTTTCAACTGTCTATGGACATGAATAAAGCCGCTATTCACTTTATTGACTATTGTATAACCGGTATGGACGCTAAAACTACTCCCGATTGAGCAAATGAGCTTAGGCTATAGAACGGTAGTCAATAAGAAGTCAATAATCTTGCATATCATTGGATAGAATATTGCTATTAATCAAGGAAGGGATGTAAGGGCTCTCTACTTGTGCTGCAGATCGACAAGAAGGATGATAAGGATTAGAACGAGTGATTGATCAGCAATTTATTGTCGGGATCGATTCGTATTGGAATTTCTTTCTATCCATTGATGGTCATCAATGAGCCTCTTGAGCATGACAGAGTAAACTGGATTATTTCGTTGTTTTTGCTAAGATACAATAGGTGGCCATTGGCACGCAAACAACGTTCACTACCAGGCTAAACATCAAAACATGTGTTACAACAAATACCTTCAATAATAATACGCGCATAACTATCGCACACTGAATGCATTCTAGCTAAAATGGACAGGAATGATTTGGTTATGATATCATCGTGCTCTTGACTACAACGGTATGGAATGAAAACATCATCAACTGTAAACGGCTTATACGAGTATACTGTCATAACGACACCTATGATAGTTTCAAATCAGTTTAAGCAGTGAATAATACTGATGATCAATACTCTGCCGCGCTCTTTTTAGGGCTGGGTGGGAGGGTTTTACAGCAGAGTAGTGATAGATAGATACCACTTGATAGACCGCCATCATGTCGATATATTGAATCAGTACTGTAGAGGTAAAGCACATACTAACGTACATGGATTTATACTTAGCCGGACTTCGGGTTTTGGCCGTAACATATATAATGATTATAACAAAATGTGTAAACAGCAACATATCAACGTTCTGTATTCCTACTGCATCTGTTTACAACACTTTCTAAGAATCAAGCGTTTCACACCTAATAACAATTCTTAAACAGTGCAGATATGTTAGAGACTTGATTACAATCTGGTTTAAGTCATTACAATTATATCACACAGCAACTTATATCATTGATTAGCTTACTATAGAAATTGCATTATTGTAACAAAATGAGTAGATTGTTGCAAGTTAGCTTCAGCAATGATAGAGATGTGATCACAAAGATCTTCTATCTTCTGTAGTTTATTACATCTTGAGGTTCTAATTTTCTTTTCTTTTAGAT